CGTTTAATGTCACAAACTTTTAGTAATCACAAAAACAAACTCCAATTAAAATGAGTTAAATATTTAAACCACTTAAAACAATAGCAAATTGTAAATTAATTGTGCCAACGTATTTGGTATCCTGCTAATGTTTGTCTGGCTTTCACTTGGGCACACACACTCGAAAATTAAACACATTTATTATGCAAGTGGGGAGAGTGGCAGTGGCAGGGCACACTCTCAGTTTGCAAAGATTTCGCATATGGCAAACTTCTCCTAAACTCACCTTAGATGATTCGTCGGCTCCCAAGTTCTCAAGTGTGCAAACAATTTCAAATGCAAATATGCAGAATGCTCCGCTCCGCACCGCACCGTCTTTGCTCGTCTTTTTCTTTCTCTTTGCGCCTCTGCTGCTGCTCACTGCTTGCACATCCACACTCAAAATCCAAAGACCTCAATAGACCGCTGGCCGACTGACTGACTGACTGACTGACAGTTTTTTGACTAACTTCTAGGCGAGACAATTCGCGGGCCCACGGCAAATATTGAAACTTGATATTTATTTTGGCCAAAATCAAGCCAATTAGCGCGGATTGACTGCGAGCGGGGGGAAATTGGCTTCCTCAAGGCGGGAAGGTAGCCGGCACGAGTGAAATTTTCACCTGCACTTTTGCCAAGACACACACCAACAGTGACTGGCTGAGGGCACAATGGAGGATGGGAGGGAGAGTGCACTTGTTGTTCGGTTTGTTTGGTTAGTGGAAGATGTTTTCGTTTTTGGCCAATTGTATTTCTAACGGAAATTCGGCGAGGAGTTGTCTTTAGTTCTGTTATTATTCGTTTGGAAACGCGCGCGTTCTCCACAAGGGTAAAATCGCGACTAACCTAAACTTGCAAGCAGGCAAGCAAGCGCCAAAGCGCCAAGCGGCCGGCACAACGTGGAGAGACGCTCTGTCTCTCTCTCCCTCATGCTCTTTCTGTGGGTGTGTGTGATGATGATGATGATGCTGCCGGAAAGAGAGCGTAAACTTGTGTCTTATTCTCCCTCTCTTTGTGCAAATTGCCGGCTCGAGAGTCAGTCACATGTGTCCGGCGCTTATGTTGCCGCAACATGTTCCCTTGTTTGGCGCGTGTTTGAAACAGTTCTTCCAATTTGGAGTTTTTCCTCGCCAATTTTCAGTTTTAATTGGCTAATTTATTGACTTTGTTTTGTTTTAGTTTTTTTTTGCTCTGCTATGCTCTGCGCTGATTATTTATAAACACATTTAAATTTATGGCCACTGATTTTTTTTGCATGAGATCAGAGATCGGGTCTCTCTGGCCTACTTAATTTATGGCACCCCCAACGGGTGCGGGTGCGCCCTGTCTCCTCGTCGCGTCTTCTACTAAAAATTTATGTTTCAAATAACAAATTTTCAGGCCACAAAGATAATCTTTCCATGTGTTGAGGTTCGTTTGCTGTGTGTGTGTTGCTCAACACAGAATATGTTGCCAGCAGATTTGTTTACTTTTTGCGGCTTAGTCAACGAAAAATGGTCCAAAGAAAGCACCAGAAAAGCAACAAAAAATCAACAGAATATCTTGACCACATTCAATGCAAACAAATTACGTAATCTGCAACGTCTGCTGGCCATATTTATAAACAATTACGTGGAAAAGAAGAGCACACAGCCACTAAACAAATGGTATAGTATTGGTGAGTGACACAGCCCACATAGATTAATCACCCCGTTCGTAGTGATTTCTTTGATATATTTAGCTAATGTATCAGTATTTTTCCCACAAATTCTGTTTGAATATTATCGAAGTTCAAGAGTGACCGAAATGCGCGAAAGTTTGCAGCATTACTTTTACTGTAACTGTAAATCGAAGAGCTTTCAAGCTTTGAGAAACTTGTTGCTCGAGGGCGATGCGATAAATGTAACAAGAGCCAGTGCAGGCAGCAACAAAAGCAAAGCAAAGCAACAACAAAGCAAACAACAAAACACCGAAATTTCATTGCTTGTGCGCGCCTTACCCATTTAACCCCCCCACCTACCCCTGCCCTACCGCTACCCACAATCCGATTTATTGACACAGACATTGAAGTGGCCGAAGGCATCGTCGTGTGCGTCGAGTGCTTTTAGCAGTTTAATATTTAATATGTTGCACTTTTTCAGCGGCATAAACAAATGCGAATGTTGTTTACACTGCTGGAGCGAGCGAGCATACAATGTGTATAATGAGATTCGGGAATAAATTGAGGCTGGCTATGTGCGGGGCATTCCATAAACAAATTGTAAACAAAGGCGAATGATTATACAGCAACTATTTAAATGGATTGGCCAATCATTTACACTTGCAGATATGCTGCAAATTTTAAGTTAATCCAATGAAAATGTATTGGAATTTATGAAACAGGGTAGAGGCTGGGCTAAAAATAAAGATGACATCCAAATGGAAATAGAATCCGAAAGCCCACAGCACCACACACACACCCCCACACATCCAGTGGCCGGTGGCACCACCATCTGCTCTGGACATTGGCATTGAGTGGGTGGCGCCTCACTGCCAACATCTGGGGCAGTGCCTGATCACGCGGCTACTTTTTCTTTGCATAAACATCAGCATTACATGAGTTCTTCCACAGGGCCAGAGACAGTTAACACCCTAAAACATACGAATCAAAATGATATTCCTCAATGGCAGAAGGTCAATCGTTTCGTTCTGGCAATGATTTATGCTACAGCTCAAACAATATCAAAAGGGCAGACCCATTAGTTCCACAAATTCTTCTACAATCCCACTCGGCACTTGACTCTGGTGCGAGTTTGCGCAACATTGTGGGCAGCCGCATCAAACTTATACATGGTAATGCCTCGAATTCTTGTAATTTATGGCAATTTAAAGATTTGTTCAGCTGCAGGGAATCCCGACATTGACCCAGCAGCAAGAGGGCAAGCCCTTAGGCACGTGGATATTGTTTTAAAATAACTTAAATTTGGGGGTGATATCAGCCAATAGAAAGCGGATAGATATCGCTGTAAGATCAAGGGCTGTTGAGTGATTAATTGCTGGCCTCTTTCAGCTGGGAAAAACTATTATAATTCGACTTAAACTTTCGACAAGTTTGAAACAAATGATGCCTCAGCCTCTGTCTCAGTCTCTGTTACTTACACTTGCCACATGTGGCCAAATGCTATCCATTTTTCGCACATTCTAGCTATTCACGAAGCGCAACATGTGTCAGTGGTGGCCGACTGCGTCTGGCTATGCCCCACTAATAAGCACACAAATTTGTATCAAAAATGGGTTGCTATATTTCTGTACAAAAGGAAACAGCCCTTCCCCCCGAAAACGAACATAAAATGTATAAATACACGAATAAACATGTTGGAATACACGAAATGGAATACGGGCAGGGCCAACTTGCACTTGTGGCCGGAGAATGTTTAGCGAGTGCGTGTTGATTGGCCGAAATAGTTGAGGACCGGCTGGGGGGCTCGTTTACCAGCAATTGAAGGCCACCATTACTCCAGCTGAGTCACACGACTTGCAGTTGCATTACTCACTATGCAAATCAGACAGAGAGAGAGAGGAGCGAGGAGCGAGTAGGTATGATGAATACCCCTACCGACAGCCAGTCATCTAACGTGTTTGCAATTATGCAAATATCCTGACAACAGACTGGGAGGCAGCTCCAACCGTTGATAACCAAGTTTGGAATACTTTCAATAATAAATTTCAATTAAAAAATATTTGATAAGCCTTGGCAAGAACGAGCAAAGCCACCCAGCTAGCTGGTGGCATGGTATCCGAGCCTCCTCGAGCATCGAACGTCACTTAATTGCTTTTCGTTGTTGTGCCGCGATTGGCGCTAATTGAAGACAACTTGTTGAGTGTTTTTGGCCAGAAGTGATGGTGGTGGTCAGTACAGAGACTGTGCAACCTGCCACTGGCGGTGCAGAAACTTTGTCATTGATGCGTAGTCCGTGCTCTGCCACCGCCTAAGGCCACCCAATCAAGAATTATGCGTTCGCCTCTTGGCCAACAGTTAAGCGATGATGCGGCTCTGGCAGTGTCACTTCCATTTTGTGCACTTTCCTGTTCCACTCCACACACTAATCGATTTTCAATAACTTTATGCTCGAACGGCAAACAAATTGTTTCTGGCCACTGGCCGTTGCTTTTCGATGGTCTCATGAATATTCATATTTTAAATACTTATTACCCAATAGCCATTGATAAATTGTATTTAAAATGCTCATACACAGCCCCAAAGTGCTGTTCGTTCATGCGATTAATTAATTGTTCACGCTTTATTCACTTGTATTTTGCATTCCGAAATAAATTTGTAGCCAGAAAATGTTATAAATTGACCCAAATATTCAGGCACGAAATTGAGATACTCCAATTGCTGTCACTTAACATCAAGTTCAAGTTCAATTAGGCAGCAACATTTGTAGAGAATCCCACCAAAAATGACAACTTCTCTGACTCAATATCAAAGTGAGAAATCACTTCAGCCAGCTGAATCATCGTATGACCTTTAAGCAGCATTCTCCTTATCGATGTGCACATACCGTACCGTACTCATAATCTATTCTCTCATTGCTGATTCACCTGCGATCTCATTTTCAATCTCATCCATTAGCCATGACTAATCCGGCATGTGTTTTCATCTCTTCATTTATAGCGCTGGAAACTATCACTCGCCCATAATTCGTGTACAATTTGCAAAGCCATCGACAGATATGGGGCCATAAACCCATCCGCAGGCATCTAATCCATGCATTCATCCAACGGATATCCATTCAAATGATAAATGAATATTCCGCTTGCTTTGGCTAATTAATCAATTTTCGTCTAATTCGCAAAAGCGTGGCCAACTCTCTCTCTCTCGCTCTCTCAATGGTAATTTCATAGAAATTGATCAAACATTTTTCGCTTTACGAATTTGCAAATAACACGTATACGCGTTGCACATACAAAGACACAGTGCACAAAACCCTCCACCATGTTCAGCAAAGAGTGAAATTCAATTTGTCATTTCACAGCTACATTTTATTTGGCTTTAAGCGAGGCTTTGATTGGTAGCAACTGCACACACGAAACATTTACCACACTGCCAGAGCCCCTCTTGTACTTTCATTTCCATTTTGGGACATCATAAAAGCAGATACTTCCCTTTCATAAGCCTATTCCTCACGACGTTTCTGTATGTGCAAAGACAACTGAGACATGACGGCATTACGGAGCTGAGTGTCGATGGCGGAGCGTCTTTTCGGGATGCTATTGGGTAGAGGTACGAAGTATATTTAGCTCTGCTCAGAATGTTCCACATTCAAGGTTCACCTGCTCTCGGACTTGCCAAAGTTCTGATGTTTGTGTGGTATGCAAGTCTGCTTTGGCACTGCCTTCAGTTCCAGGCCAAACTCGCTCTCAGAGGGGTACAAGTCCAAGGCGTCGTTGGTCACTTTGCCGTTGGAACACATTTTAGTTGCTTGCAGTATAATTTGTATACTTTTTATAATTTTCAAGGAAATTTCTGCTCCCGCAACACAGAATCGAAAATGGAATTGTGACAGAAAACGCAGTGCCAACTGACATTTAAATGAACATTTTACTGCTCCCCTCCCTCTGCCACTCTCTTTTTGCTTCCCTGCCAATACAAAGAGTGAAATTTAATTTGTGCAAAAAATACTTGCAATACTTGCTTTAATGTTATGCAAAACGCATTTGAGCTGCAGACACGAACCACGACGAGACCATCCATGTCAATGACAACAAACAGAGACATTGCTGCACCAGTGCCTTCGCCTTCTTTGTGGCAACAAAATTACAACCGCAAGAAATGAAGCGGAATTCGGTCAGTGCAACCTCGAGCTCTTCTCAGCTCCAGCTCCACCTGAGAGACTGTTGCAAGCGGCAGCGCCAATTTCCTATGCATATTTCACTTTACGAGCATGAGATTTTGCCTGCAAATGTTTGCTTTATGGAAATGTGAGGAGATTTTGCCAAAAACAAACAACTTTGGCATTTTTGGTCCATCTTGGGGCACTTTTTGAACTGTGAATATGCCCAATATATATATTTTATGCAAATTATGCCGAGCACCAGACACTGCCAGAGAGAAATGTGAGAGAGAGAGAGAGTCGAGCAGCGATCAAGTCAGAGAAGAATTCATCTTCTGGGGACAAAGTTCAATTGTCGCAAATTGGAGCGCAGAAACAAAAGCAAAAGGAGCGTACAAAAAAGAAACAAAAAACTTGCCAACATAAATAAAATAAGAATTTGCAGAAGGAGATTGGGTAGGGTTTCCCTGCCATCAATCATAACCATCAATCGGAAGCGAGCAACTTTGAAGTTGGCGGCATGCGGGCATGCGGCAAGCACAATTTTGTGGTCCATTTCAATTAGAACACAACAGCTACAAACAAGCCACAAACTGTGGCAAACGTTGCACATACTCATATGTACACAGATGAGGTCGAACGGAGAACTTTTGGCTTTGAAGTAAACATTTCTAACACGAAATTGAACCCATTTCCCCTGGTGATTAACAAGAGCTGATCTCATGCAAAAAATGCCCTCAAATTCTATTGCTAAGTATGATAGATCCACAACAACTGATGTCACTGGGCCACTTTCGTGCTAAATGGTCATAAGTGTATTAATAAAGTGCAGCTGCAATGGGTGCAAAAACGCATAAACCAACACACAAAACATTCAAGTGCAACAGAATGCCAAGCGGAAGTGTGAGGCGATTCATTATTTTGATTGAATGATTTAATTTTGTGCCCAATTATGCAAATTAATGCATAGAAATTACAGCACAACAATAATAAATTAGTGTATAAATATTACAGATTAGAATACGTTGAGAGAGACCTTCATCTAAGAACTTTTCACTTTTGAACTTTTTTATTGAATTTCCTCGGCTAAAGTATCTACGGGAATGACTCTGCATCTTCAACTTATCCCTTTCTATGACCTACAAGCATAATTTAATAAATTATCCAACTAAATAGTTCATTTCCAACAATATCGCCGCATCCCAAAACCAAATTCTGCCTCAGCCCATTTTGAATTCCGTGCCAAAAATTCGCGTCTAAAGACTCGTTAACGAGCAGACAAACAGACTTAGACATGCTTGAAGGAAACTTGCAGCTATTTTTGAAAGCAGACAGACCAGAAACCAGAAGACTGAGTGGCGGAACCACAAAAGTTCACATCAAAATGGCTCCAAAGAGTTTTTGGGCAGCAAAGTCATAGATGATACTCTCATCAGTCAGCGAATTTCTGCGTTTATAAATTGACTGCAAGATGATACATGTGCACATGTGTATGCTGTCCGAAAATTGAGCATCAATTTCACGACAAATTTCACACGTACTTAGAAGCTGTCAGAATGTGTCAGAGCCGCGTCATTTGTCTCATTAAGCCATTATTTCCGCCTGCCGCAGCAGCAGCAGCAGCAGCAGCAAACACCAAACAAACACAAACTCTCACTTGACACTGTTCTCCAGCGCCACGCGAATCGTGGCAGCGTTTGGCAAGTGCCATTCAGCATTCAATCGCTCGTGAATGACATCATGGGATCGCCGCACATTGTGCATATGTAGCGCCGGATCCCGTTCAATGACGCTGCCACCATTAATCACAATCGTAGACAGAGGGAGACGCACTCGTATCATCATCAATTGCATTCCACCCACACACAGAGGCACTCGATTGAAGAGCCTAGCAATGACACATGTACGAGCAAGACTTTCCATTTTATATAATACATTTGGCATTTTCTTATTGTCTGATGAGCGACTGAGTGACGTGGGGGCGAAAAAGTCAATCAGTGTGCCAGACGCAAGTGCTGACCATCGATACGAAGAATATCGAAGAATATGTCTATAAATACAGCAACATAATCCTTGTGCTTGAGCAACCTAAAGCCTAGCTGCTTTTGAGATGTTTCGAGCCTTAATCCTCTTGCAAATAGGCTTTATACTGGAGCTACACATTCCAGCTACTAACCCATGGAGCAGCCTCGCATCTACAAATAAATTGTACTTCTGACTTCCACCGAATGTTGTGATAGTTTTTGTTATTTGTGGCACACTTTTGGGGCTCCCTTTGTGTAGCTTTTGTGTAAAATGCATGTAGAATAGCCGGGCAAAAACGTTTTTAACAGGAAAAATATATATTTGTACAATGAGAATGAGGTTTTGCAGAAGACAAAAACTCGTACAATTTGGAATCGAATGCATTGTGAGGCGGCAGTTTTCATGTAGCTACAATGCGGATTGTTTCTAGCTTGAAAGTTCCCTAAACACATCAAATTTTAGCATCAAAAATAAGTAAATTCGCTACTCAATCTTCACCCTAACGGTGAGTAAGTGCTTGCCCCGCTGTGTGATGCGTCGAACCAAGTTGTATTGCATGACCAGTGTGGAAGGACTCTGGAAAATGCTGGGCATATCCTGTGGCGCACGCATATCGTAGACCGGTGTGGTACGCACCATCAGGCTGTCGGCCATGTCGGCGCACGTGGCCTCCACGGAGAGTGTGGCCCTTACATGGGCATTCGTGGGCTTATAGCTGCAAATCCAAATGAGCAAACACTGCGTCGCTTCATCCTCCAGGGCGGCAGCATCCTTGGTGCTGATCTTGTCAGGAAACACATCACAGTAATGGCTGCGGGCAGTCATGACGAGCACGGGCAGCATGTCGCCTCGAGAGTCGATGAACAGATCCTTGACAAAGTAAACCATGTGGCACATGGGCTGACTCTTCGTGAGTCTCAGATCCAGCAGGAAGGTCTTTGTCTGCCCCACTTTGATGCGCTCCAACATAACATTTTGATGATCGCGCTGCACGTGAGTGTTGAAGTCCGAGACAAAGCAGCGTTGCTGGCACTCTCCATCAATGGGACAGACTATGGGCTTCCTGCAGATCTGCAGCAACTGTGGAGGATTCTCTTTGGGACACTCCCTTAAATCTTTGTCCGATTCCTGATCCTCATCCTTCCGTCTGCGTTGATCCCCAACTCGTGGCCTTATGGCCTGCAGCAGAATATTGGCCTCTGCCTCGATTCTGGTGTCCCTTTGCTCCGTGGACCACTTGCCGAAAACCCGCTCCAAGTTCTCGCGCTGCCACCACGAACCGCCGCGCACCAAACCGCCTGCAGCCACGCGTTTTCGTCGCGACTTTCGCTCCGCCGTTGCCTCCTGCTGCTGCTTGTCCTCCAGCTCCACCATTTCGGACTTCAGCTTGTTGGATTTCGCTTCAATGTGACGCATTATGCTGGACAATTCCTCGAGCCGCTTTCGGTTCTCCTTCATTTTGCGCTGCTGTCGCGGCCCTCTTGCGCTGAAGTGTCCCACGCCGCTGATCTTCAGCGTGGAGCTGGGACGATCTCTATTATGTGGATTCGGTTGTCGCCGATACAGCACATTTACGCTGCGAGAACTAACACAATCGGTCTCCGAGTGCTGCACATCGCCTATGACCGGTGTGACCCCCGAATCGGTTTCACTCACTTCCGTGGAGGAATCTTCTTCCTCTGTCTCTTCAACCTGCGGCACAGCAGTAGCTCGAGTTCTCAGATCCGCAGAGGATGATTCTTGTGCATCTTGATGCAGCTGACCAGCCGTCTCACGGAATATTTCCGAAAGTTTTGACTGCACTTCTGTGTCCTGCGGAGTGAACTTTTAAGAGTGTTTCTCCCCTCAAGTGTTTGCCTCACCAGCGTCGGCGGCAGCCTGCCCAAATTTTCTGCCGCAAAACAAAGAATATTCCATGCCAATGAGCCGCGCGAAGGGCCCTCAAAGTCCTGTGGATTCACAAAAAAGGTAACCCGCTGGCAATTCTTGCAATAGTTGGATAGACCATAGATTTCCATCTCATTGGTGTTTGCCCTAAGGCGTCGAAGCTCAAACTCCGGCTGAGTGTTCAGCACACTCTTCCTGTGGTCGCAAATGGTGCAGCCAAACATACTGAATATCGGTTTATAAATCAAACAAAAGTGTAGCCAACAAATAATGAAATTCTGGCAGGAATTGGCAGTGCGTGAACGTTTATCGTTTGAGTTTTTTCACCACGAAAACTAGATGAAAGCAAAATGCACTCCGGACTTCCCTTAGTAACAAAGCAAACTGGATTTCCCTGAATCCCCCGTCCCTTCAGGCCTGACATCTTCTTCAGTTGCTGCTGTTGCTATTGACCGTGAAATCCACCAGCTAAAAGTGTGCAAAAGAGACTTCAAATGGGAACCTTGGGCTGAAGCCATGCTCCAGTTTATACGCCTCGAGAGCCGAACCAATCTGAAGCGCAATTCAGATTGTCAAACGCCCCGTCAAGTGGCACCTGTCTGCGGCACACACAAACACACACACACACAGCGGCTTAAGCTGAGTCCAATTGAAGCATCACTTTGGCTCGGCTTGGATCGGATGGGATTGGTTTTGCTTTTTGCCTGGCTTGGCGGTCATTCCATCAATGATTCGACGAATTCGAATGTTTGTTTGTTGGTTTGTTTGCTGGGTAATTGTTGTTTGTTATAAGATGCGCGAAATTCGACGACAAATTCAACGATCGAATAGGTAAATAACGGAACCAGACTTTTAGCCAAATATTTGAAGTAAAACGAAGGTCTCCAACGGGCAGCGGTATATATAGCTATAGTTCCACCTGCTCCAACCATCAGACGCTAGACAACCAACAAGATGGTAAGTAAAGGAACGAATGGGAGTCCACAATTGGACATATAATAATTATGATGTTCCACAGAGCTCCCTCAGCCTGACCCTCGCCCTGTGCCTGTGCCTGGCCTGCCTGGCCGCCGCGGATGTCTCCCATTTGCCCAGCAGCTATCTGCCGCCACCAAAGCCCGAGCATGCCGTCTCCATGAGCATTGAGCAGCAGGAGCTGCGTGAGCTGCCCGAACAGGTGGAGTACATGCGGGAGAACGAGCAGGGCGTGATGGAGGCCATGCCCAGCAGTCTGCTGACACCGCCCGCACCCTTGGAGACCGAGCAAATGGATGCCATGCTCTCCTCGCGCTATCTGCCACCAGCACCACAAATGGAGCAGCGCTCAGAGCCGGAAATGCAGCAGCAGCAGCCACAGATGGAGATGGAGCCAGAGCAGCCACAGATGGCCATGCGTTACCTGCCACCTCCAGCAGCCACATCAGAGGAGCAGCTCACCTATCAGCAGTACCAGGAGCAGATGCAGATGCAGCAGCAGCAGCAGCAGCAGGAACAGATGCCACACCAGGAGGAGCAGATGCCCTACTACATGGATGTACAGCAGCCAATGGCACCCACGGATGTCGAGGCAGAGCCAGTGCCCGCCCACGAGCTCCGCTCCGATGGCTACCACTACAAACAGGCCAAGGAGCAGCTGCGTCTGAGGCATTAGGTCATGGCTCAGTGACTCAATCGTGGTATGACGGCATCGTGTGGATTGCGTCATTCGCTTGTTGTTTAAATGTTTAGCATAGTTCTTAAATATTCGATTAAATTTCGACTTGGAAGTGAATGTGGGAATGTGTGTTGGTTGCTGGCCAAAAAGTGAAGGGAACAGTTGGGAATTTGACACCCAAAAGGGATACATTTGCGCACAAATATTTGCCGTTTCTCATAATTTAATGGTTAGACTTCTAAGCAAAAAGATACAGCCCCCCTAGCCACCCTCTTCTTCCTCCTCATTATCGATGGTGGCACCCTCGCGCAGCATCTCCACCTTGTGAATGGTAAAGTCAATGTTGTAGAAGGGCACATTCAGCGTCACAACAATGCAGTAGAGCAGCACCTGGAGATGGCGAGTGCGCAGCATGTAGGCAGCGCCCTGCTGCTTGGGGAACAGCGGGTGATCCTTCTCCTGGCAATCGTACATAAAGTAACCACCGTCGTGGCCCGGACAAAAGCCAATGGCCAGGGCACGCTTGCGCACCATCACAATGCCGTATTGGTAGTGGCTGAAGAAGTAGATCAGCGCCTCGGCGAGATTCATGCGATTGAAGGTGGGCACGCGGTACAGTTTGCCATAGCAGACGTGCTCGATGTGCACCACAAAGTTAATGGCATCCATGGCGCAGTCAATGTTGAGATTCTCCAGCGAGAACTCGTAATCCTCCTTGCTGATCTGCTCCACGCTTTCCTTGAAGTACGTGGTGCCGCTCACAACGATATTGTCCAGCATGTGGGGACTCCAGTCCATCAATCGATAGACGCTGGCCGCACAGCAGGCCATCACATAGCAGGCCAGGTACTGGCGTCCACGCAGCTCATCCTCGAACACGGGCGCCTCCGGATGCAGGTTGCCCCACAGCGACCACAGACGACCCTCGATCTCCACGTCGAACTTCTTGAGTTTGCTGACCGGCAGATTGCGATATTTGCCGGCAGTGTTGCGGCGATTCAGGCGGCTCCACACGGGCAGGCAGTTCTCAAGCTCCAGCCAGCCGAGCGACTCATTCGTCGCACAAATCTCGTACTCCGGACTGCCGTAGTGCTTGTTCGAGCAGCTCATCGGTATGGAGAGATCCGTCAGCAGCTGCAGAATGCGCGCATTGGGTGCAGCCTTCTTGTGCGACAGAATGTCCACCACATAGAACTTGTACATGCACTTCTCCTTCCACTCCTTCACGCTGCAACGCTCATCGATGTACTGGATGAGTTCCTCCGTGTCGCCGAACAGCACCCAGGAGGCGGTGTTGCGCTCTGGATAGCGCTTCGGTCCCTTGGGGCACTTTTTCTTCTTGCCACCCTCCTCCTCGTTGTCCTGCTCCTCCTCCTCCTCGCCTCCGCCTGCCTTCTCCATGCTGCCATACGGATCGAACAGATGAAAGAACTCATCGTGGTACAGCGCATAGCTGCCGTTCGGCGTGAACATCAGCAGATACTTCCGCTGGTGCAGCGTTTTGTTCAGTTTCCGCTTCAAAATTTCATTGGCCATGCCCGAGGGATGCTGCTTTTCGGTCGGTGTGCTCATGCCCGGCGCCTCAAAGCCGCGTATCCAAATGTCAAACTCGTAATCATCCACCGTCACATGACGCACGACACGCTCGAAGACCGACTCCAGTTCGCACACCGTGCCAGCTATCGCCTTGGCATTTGTTATCACACGATCGACTCGGTAGGAGTTCCAGCGATTCAGTGGACGCATTGAGCAGCTGAGTATGGCCAGCGCCGAGGCGAAATAGCAGGGTTTGATCTCCTTGAAGCTGCCCTCGTCGCGGCCCTCGAGTGCGGTGCTGCCTTGGATCTTGAAGCGGCAATCCTTCTCCCGCATGCGATAGCCGTAGAGGATGGGCCGCGGCTGGTACGCGCGCGACAGCTCCTTGGGTAGTTGCTTGCCCGGCAGGTGCTTCAGTTCAATCTCCTCCTCGCCCTCTTCCTCCAGCTCCATGCCCATCTCCTCGTACTCCCTGTACTCCTCGCCTTCGCCCTCGTCCTCGTCAATGCCAGTGTCACGATAAGCGGGGCTGCCTGTGGGTGTAGAATCTTCTTTAGAATTATCCAATAAAGTGACAGCAAAGTCCCGGAATACTTACGCTTCCTCCTCTTGCGATCCTGATGCTGCTGCTTGGCCCTGAGGAACTTCTGTATGCGATCATTCTCCCTCTTCAGCTCCTCATCGATGAATCGCATCTTCTCCAGTCGCGCGTCGCGCAGCCTCTTCTGCCGCGCCGACAACTGCTTGTACTCGGCATCCTCATCGGCCTTGGGCCAGCGTCGGAAGCGTCCCTCCAGATGGTTGTCCACCACCTTGATGCCCGCCACAATAAAGTTCATTACCGAACAGCCCAGCGGATTGCAGCCAAACTCGATGCGTTTGATGAGCGCATCCAGCTCGAGGAAGCGCAGTAGACAGGCCGGACCGGAGCCGCCCTTGCGGTAGCCCACGGCGCTGCAGGGGAATCCAATGAACATGTAGAGGAAATTGTAACGCTTGAAGATCACACAGGAGAAGCGCTGGCAGACGAGCAGCAGGCGGGTTTGGCTGGCCAGCAGATCGACGAGCACCTGCCGCAGCGGCACTGTGATCGATGACTTGACCACCTTGGGCACCTCCAGGCTGAAGCTGCTCTCCCCGATGGCAATGTCCGGCAGCTTCTTGGCCAGCAGGCAGGCCAGAATGTACTCGTAATTCTGGTAATCCTCGCCAAAGCTGTTGGCCGACTCCAGCGCGAATTCGATGAGATCCGCGTTCCACGTGGACAGCTTGTACTTGGCGGACACCGCCACGGCCACCACGGCGGACAGCAGACCGCCCAGCTTGGCCATTTCCTCATCCAGATGCGGCAGCTGCGTGGAGCCCATGATGATCCAAGCGCCGTCCGGCAGTGCCTGAAAGTTGCTCCTCAGCGCCACCTCCTCCTCGAGTGTGGGCACGCGCTTCTCCTCCTCCTCGTCCTCAGCGTCCAGCTCATAGCCCCGCTTGATCTTCAGTCGCAGCGCGCGCAGATTCTCCATGTCCGTGCGCAGCAGCACCTTCTGCGCCTGCGGATAGAGATGCGGCCGCTGCAGCGCAGGATCTGGCAGATCCTGGATGATTTCATTGATAATTCCATTGATTAGATCCTCGATCCATTCCTTCTCCTCCTTCACAGGTATGCGCTCCTCGTCGGGTATGCTCTCAATGCTCTTCTTCTGCTTCAGCTCCGGCTCCGGCGGCTCATCCGTGAACGTTGGCAGACCCATCTGCAGCGCCTGGAACTTGTTTGTCTTCTGTGTCATCACCTGCAGCGGCCGAATGCAGCCGGTGCGTATGCCGTGTATGAAGAACTTGCCACCGCGACGCATCTTCAGCGCATTCATGTACAGCACGCGGCAGAAGGAGTCAAAGGTGGCGTGCATCTGGAGCATGGCCAATCCCTTGATGCGATAATCATCCGGATCCACCACCATGCCGCTGCGATTACGCCTAAATGGATCGAAGACGTAGAAGAACTCCCTGTCCCGCCAGATGCCCAGCACCGAGTTGTCGATCTGCAGCAGTGCCGCCGGCCATTGTGGCATGTTAAAGAGCTGCTGCAGCGCCATTGTCAGCTGCGAGTCCAGATAGCTCTTGCAGTCGGCCACATGGCCATTGATCAGGAATGGCTGCTTGCGCACGGTGGCCTTGAAGGCGCCCATGAGGAACATCTCCGGCAGATCGACGACATTCAGATGGGGCTTCTTGTTCTTCCAACGCTTGCCATCCAGCCGGAACTTCTTGCGCAGCGTCTTGTAGTAGGCCATGCCATAGCGGATGATGTCATCGATGGTCATTGGCCGCCACAGCTTCGCCAGCTCAAACTCCGCATAGATGAGAGCTATCAGCGAGACGACCAGCGAGCCGTTCTTCTCATTGCCCGATATGGGCTGATGTATGCCACCATCCCCCGCAGGCTTCACCGCAAAATGTTCATTGACCACCGCCCACAGCTTGTGCACCTCCATGTTGTTGTTATCCTTCTTCAGTGGCTCACCCTTCAGCTTGCCATACTGCTTGAGGGATATCTCATAGATGCTGAACTCATCCTGCGGCTGCAGCTCACTGAATTTCGTTATCAAATGCACCAAATGCTCCGTGTAGCGGGTGGCCATCAGCGAGCATTTGCCCTCCGTAAAGTCACGCAGACACATGTCATTCCGTCCATTGGGATCGAAGACGTAGTACGAGTTGAGGCAGCGCTTCCAGATGAGCAGAAACAGCTCGCGGGACACAAAGATGCAAGCATTGTATTTGGTAAAGAACAGCGAGAGGGCCTTGAACATGTTCGGCTCATTCCGGAGCAGCCCAGAGAAATGGATCTTAATCTGCACCTCAGCCTCGCGCTCCTTCACCTGCGGTATAATGTCAAAGTCTGTCCCATCGGGCGCCTTGTAGTTCAGGGCGATGCTCTTTTTGGTCAGGCTAACGCCACGTTTCAGTATGCCATCCATGGTGCTGCCTGTCCAGAAGTCCGGATTCAGTCGGAAACTCTCCACGTAGGCCACAATAATGCAGGCAATTTCACTCGGCCGATAATAGTATCTAATGGGTAGGTTGACAGGGATTATAAATCACACAAAAACTCTCCGCTGTCTCACCTCGTGCGACCCCCTTCCTTTTCCTTCTCTGGAAAGACATTTCGATTGCCAAAAACAATCTCCGCCTTGAAGGTGGTATCCAGTTCGGTGGGTATATTATAGAAGATGAGTTCTCCGTCGTTTTCTGCGGGCAACTAATCGAATGAGAGGAAATTACAACCTGCTGGCTGTTGTACACACCATATTGTGGCAAGGAGGCGGTAATAAACTCCTGATCCAACTCCTCTTCACGCTTCTGATAGCCCGTGTTCCATGTCCATAGATCTTGCGGACTGCAGCCCTCAATCAGATCGAAAGTCTTTAAGTTCTCGCCCTCGAGACCCTCTTGAATGATGCGTGGATTGTACGAGGGAAATGGCAACTCCTCCAGCGGACCCACTTGTGTTTCGTTCAGGTAAATGCGACTCTTGGGACGCTTAAGTTCCAGCTAAGGGGCAGGAGGGTGAACGATGGCAGCAGTGAGTAAAGGAGTTGGTCGTTAAAGGATAATAATTGCTGACATCTGGGCTGGCTAATGCCACTCCATAGGCACTCTCTTTCTCTGTGTTTCTTCCTAGCTTTTGGTGGCTAGTGGCCTCAAATAGCACGCATACGCCACCGATGCCAGTCCCTATGTATACATAGATATAATAGAGAGTGGGCGGGCTGTAAGCGGCATAAGGTAAGGCACGAAATGCCAACTAGACTGGCCATAACGACTCGTGTATGATGTGGCTTGGCGCTCGTCAAACGTTTTACGTGCGAGTGTGTCTGTGAGGCACCTCTATGGCTCGCTGGCCACTGCTGGCTGACTGCTGACGGCCACAAGCAGCCAGCCGGCCCGCGTACAAATTGCACAGAGCAGCAGTAAACAACGAACAGCGCTTAGTGCCACATCACGGAATCTTATCGCTCTCATTCGGTACGGTTCGGGTTCAGTTCCAAAACCAAAACCAAACCCCCAGACACAAAACCGAAACCGCAACACGAGTCCCACACACACACACACACCCACAGACACGAAGCTTGTCGTGCCAACTCGTGGAATCCGCCCGAAGAACAAGTCATCTAGCTGTAGTAGCCCCTCCACCCGTACTCGCATTCGTACTCGCACTCGTAGCAACAGCAAACACACAGCATAGGCAGCAAAGTGAGGCCATAGCAGACCATAGACCATAGCCATAGCCATAGCCACATTCAGCGACGCAGTATCGTCGCACAGTTATAGCATACGACCACGTCAATACGAGCGCACAAATGCCAACATCATTGGCACAGACACACACACACACAGAATCATACGACTACAAGCCACTTAGTAGTTGCTGCTGCTGCTGCTGCTGCTCTTGCTCTATGCCCAACAACAAGTTGGCCTAAAAGCAAACCCCAGAGACAGAGCCAAAACAAGAGCCAAGAGACGCAACGAACACAACCCTCTCCAGACGGAGCAGACCTACGCTCAAGCTCTGCGTGTTGCCGCTCTCTGTTTGGGCCAAATGTCAAACCGGGTACGTAATAAACATACATACATACATAGCCTTAAGGGGTAAGCGGTAAGGAGGGTGGTAAAGATCGGGCACACATAACAGCGCAGGTGTTTGGTATCCCGTCCAGCACAGCTGTGTGGTGGGGCTGCCCTGCCATAATCGAAGAGAGTCAATGAAAGTCCGTTTTTAAAATCAATAAAAATAATAAAACCAATGGCCAGGCGAATGCAAGGCCAGCGCACGTGTATCCAGAGGGTTTCAGTACGTTGGCACTTGCTGAAATATAATTCTAATTCAGCCAGGAATCGGGGCGAATGGATGTAGAAGTTACCTTATAGTTGCTGAGGCTGCAAACGAAAGGGCAACACAGCAGATGGCTTGAAATTGTTGGCCAGTTGCAGGTGCAAACAGCAACCAGCAGTCGCATCTTACGAAGCTGCCAACAAGGCGGCCATAACCAGCACAAGCGCACACACACACACACACACACACACACATAGCCATAGACAGACAATGCTGACGGCGCCACTCTGACGCAGAGAAGTACTTGGGCGCGCTGTAAAGTGCATTGAAGGGAGAAGCAGTGGCGTAGGACCATGTTGTTGAAAAGGGGTTTGCGAACTCCACTCCACCTGCAGATGATTTACACTGGGTTAGTACCCAATAGTTTGATAAGGCTCATTCAATGGAACGCCCATAAAACATTAAATCGTATATTATCTATACCAATATCAATCGAATTGTTTCATACGCGCGTCTGGAGAGAGCTCACACCAACACACAAAGACATAGTCATTGTTTGCCAGTGGCCTTATCTACGGCGGAAAGTTAATTAGCTTAGTAAGTGCTCGACGGACTAAAGGTGTACGCGATTGAAGAGCTCTGCAGATATAAACACTATGTACACTTTCACTGTTTGTACATTTAGGGTACTGTGTACTGTGATTTTTAAACACGCGGGAAGGATGCATTTTCCACCCTGCAAGCGGATTTATGTTATGGATCAGCATCCGTCTGTCTGCTTATTTTTATGTCTGCGCTGAACCCTCAATTTCTATTCCAAGGAAACTAAATCACACTTGTGGCATCACTATATCAAATATGCAGTTGTCATGGCAACGATCGCTTAAAAATAAAACTTAAATAAATAAACATTGAAACTGTTGGTTGCAGCAAATAAGATAAAATTCGAATGTGAATAGTCACATCATCATCAACCAATGGGAGCAAAAGCTCCCGTAACCCTAAGCTATCCTTTCTTTCTCGCTTTTAATGCTATATAATTAATGTTAAATTAAGCACGTACGCATATCCTTCTCCCACCACTAATCACCACCCTATAAGTATGACCCCCGCTCGCATCACTAGCCCATAGAAAACAATCGAACATAACAAACAGGCGGAAAAACGCAAAAGAAACGAAAAATTCAGCAACAGCGACGACGTCAGCGTTGACAGCGGCGCACACTGCATATACACACAAATGCATATGCAATATGCCCAGTACGAACCAAAAACAACAACAGTAACAGCTGCAAATGTAGCTGCATGCATACATATAAAGGTGTGTGAGTGAGACACCCAAAACGCTGCCTGCCTATCGTTCCTCTTTTGCCGCATTTCTGACGTCCGTTGCTACAACAACAGCAAACAGCCAGCCAGCAGCAGAAGCGAAGCAACAAAGCGACAGGGACAAGACTCTCGTGTCGTGGCTGTGGGCATAGCGAACCGTTTTTATTTCATATGGAGAGAGGAGAGCCAGCAGAACGTGCAAACGAAAACGCAAACACAGGCACGGCTCGGCAGGGCAGGCAGACAGACTGAAAGCTGAAACCGTAAAAAAAACAGGGGCACAAGTGTTATTACTCAGTAATTGTAAAAATGTCAGCGCACAAACAACAATAGGCTAATAGAAGCAGATCTACGTGTCGCGGCGCATTCGCTGAGAAACAAACACAACAAATAAAAGTGACTAACAATGCTCTGGCATTGGGATGGAACAAATAAATAATTCTTTTATTTCTCTTTGCAGCCGTAAAAGGAAAGGAGAAGTACTCTCTGGTTGTCTCTTTTGCACATTCTCTGCCTCTCGTTTGCGTTCGAGAGGGACGGCAATAGGCAGCGCAGTTGGCTTTTTGCTTTTGCTGCTGCGCAGTTAAGGAATAAGCGGTAAAAGAAAACCAGTGTTCAGACTGTGCAGAGGAAAGGCAGGAACAGAAATACAATTTATTGCAATTGCAATTGAAATGGCAGCCATGGCACCAGCAACAGTCAATAACCACAAAGGGGTAAGTCTGAGGCTTCGTCTGCTTTAACTTGGCCTTTAAGCCGCTCCGAGGGTTGGTTTCCGGGGCATTTGCTTATGACACACGCGGTCGCCAGACCAGACAAATACGCGACCGTGTGTTTGTGTATGTGTATTATTTGCACACACTCATATGTTATGGCGCGGCACAGTGGGATGTTTAGAATCTGGGAGTGCGTAAATCGTTCGAAATGCTGACTCAACTTTCAATGTCTTTCTCCACAGCCCAAATCGCGTCGCAATGAGCGCAATATTTTGACCTTTTACGAGAAGATGGCCGTCATACGCTACTACGATGAGACAAACATTTCGAGAAACAGTCTGGCCAAGATGTTCCATTGCTGTGCCACACAGATACGTCGCATACTGGAAAAGAAGCAGGAGCTGCTGCAGCAGTTGGCCACGCTTAGCGAGGCAGATGCCTCCACCATCATTGAGGAGATGACGCGTAAGCGTCGCAAGTTCGAGATGAGCGCCATCAGCTTTCTGCTCCACGAGTGGGTGAAGCGCTGCCGTCAGCTGCGTCTTGGCATCAGCATTCGCAACCAGAAGCTAAAGGATACGTCCATGAAGATGGCAGCCGTGCTGAACTTGCCCAGCTTTCGTCCATCCTATCGCTGGCTGAACCGCTTCCGCGGCAAGTACAAGTACGACGAGGACGACCTGGGCTATCAGGGAAGCGACAGTGTGACACAGGAGCTGCCTGTCGAGGAGATCATTGTGGAGTTCAAGCATTCGCTGCCCAATTTTATGCAAAGGGAGCTGCAGGAGACCGATGGGGATACCAGCAAGGAATTGGTAAACCTGTCAAGTGAGAACAGCCTGATGTCCGACACTGGGCCAGAGCGTTTCGATGAGGACGATGTGGAACAGGTCACCTGTGAACCCAGTGTACTGCTCTCTCCGGCTACCTCGCCTGAGGCTATGGATCAGCCACATCAGGTCGCACCAGAGGAGGATCCCTCGAACAGTGCACAAATTAACGCCGGCACCACAACTCTACTCAACGGCGTATTCCCCCACTTGGCCATCATTCACCAATTTGCTTTGATGAACTCTGACATACAGGCCCTGGAGCTGATCTCACAGTTGGGCGTGCACATGCAGCAGCAGGCCACAAGTGGTGCCTATCGCACACTCTCGCTGGCCACAGGCACTGAAGGAGGCGCTGCTGAGGAGTTCAACTCCATGCCGGAGCTACCGCCAGGCAGTATCTACGCGGACATTGATGACATAGAGTTGATCGAATAGGAATCCAAAAACTAATCTTAAATCTACTTTAAAGCCATGATACAAATAAAAGTATTGATATAGATTTAGCTCACCATTCGCCTATCCGGTATGATGATCATGTTCGAGCTGCACTCGGGAGAGGCCAGTTGTGGCTTCACCTCTCCCTCTTCCTCCTCGCCTTCTTCGGGCTGTGCTTCCTCCTCGCCCAGGTTCATGGGGCTGTTGAGGACGACAAGATCGTTGGGGCAGGTTCTGCGAGTCCGCGCATCGTGCTCGACCAGTCCAAAGTCCCTGCGGGCCAACAGCAAGTGCTCCCGCATCTCGGCATGGGTTCTCAGCTCTGCCGGCGTGCGCTGCGGCATCACGCACATAGGGAACTCGTCATAAGGGGCGCAGGTTTTCTTGGCGGGACGCGCGAAACGTGACGCCTCCGCCTTTTGATGGATGCGACGAATTTCATCCTCGATGGTAAGAACCTGGGATATTGTGGAGTTTGGAGGCTTCTTTGGACACACGCGATCGCGAGGGAGACAAGTCTCAGTGTTCCATTCGAGCGCCGGGGCCTCGTTGCCCATGTAAGTGCGCACTTCGTACGGATTGGCCGAGGGGCTCTCCTCCGCATTCACTTCGACGAACTTCTTGAGCATTTTTGCAATTACACAGACAATTTGGTAAATAAAACAAAAATTATTATTCACTTAAAATTTTGTAGCACGGCGCGATTTTATTTAGTTTCGTTTCACATAAACACACACGAGTGATGAAAGGTTAAGTTTGACTTTAACCGTTATGTACTCACAAAACACATGAAAACACGCGCCAACTTTGCAAACATCGATAGGAACTGTAGGGGTATTCGTGTGCTCAACTGTTTGTCGGACTGAGTGGTTGTTTTCATTTACTGTTCCAATGTACTATTTGTAATAAAAATTAGATTAAAGCCCTTGCCTAAGATTTGCGCGTGTGAAATAAAATAATTAATTTGTGTTTCCTGTTGCTTTAATATATTCACAATCAATTTCATGAATCCCCAAAGCGAGTGTCATACATCGATAGTGAAAATATTCTACGTATCGATGGTACACACACATCGATAGGTCTTGCAGGTCTACACGGCCATACACAACAACAACAAAATCAACGAATGCAGTATTAAACAAAGACGAAATTTTGTTTTTCCAACTGTGCTAGCCCTCAAACAGGCTAAACAAGAGCAAGATGTGGATTGAGCCGAAGGAGTTGCTGTTGCCCTCGACGTTTTGGTGAGTGTTTCAATGCCCTTTCTGTTCTCTGCGTGCTGTGGGGGGTGGTGCGACTAGATGCCGATGCTTAATTTAAACACCAACTAGAGTACTGGTGTGTGTGCGTGTGTATGCAGTGTTATGTTTATGGAAGGTGTATCATGAAAACGCTTATTCGCGAAGCACATCATGAGGAATGGTGCATTGGAGCACGTACTAAGGCCGCGCATAAACGAGTCAACTATTTGTTTAATTGTATTGGCGCTCTTTGTTGATAACTAATTGAGAGGGTTCAAGTCTCCAGGGCGGCTCAGCGGCCTGCCTCTTCGATTCTGCTCCGATTTCACAACGCAATTTCCTGCGGAAAAACAGCTGTGCCCACACACACGGCGGCCAGTGCAGAGAGTCGGTAGCTTGAAAATTGATTGCCAACTGTGTTTCGTGCTGCGTAGAAAAAACCACCCAACCCACCCGAAGAACACACGCTCACACACATACACACGCACTCCCATGCACATGCACCATGAATGCTGTATGACCCCCTTTCCCTTTGAATTGCTTCTCGTTTCTGACTCCCGTTATTCTGCCTTCCCTCACTCCACAGGATTGCCGAAATGTACTCCAGGTACTTCGTGCTGCAGAAACGTCGCGGCCATGGCGAGTCGCGCGGGTTTGGCTCCATGCTGGTGGGCACCTACGACAGTGTGTGGAACACCAAGCCGGCTCCGTATCGCATTGTACACCGGACACCGTCCTCGGAAGTTTCTTACGGTAGGTTCAAGTGCATTTTGGGAATGGATTCTGGGGCCCACCTTATCAGTGCCTTGCCATGTGCGGCAGTGGCTGGCATGTGAGTCATGGCCTGGCTGTGATTTCTGTGATTTTTATGGGTGTATTGTACACAGCCAGAGGCCCACATTCAAGTCATTGTTTTTTTCGCCTACGGCTCCAAGATTGATTCTCTTATGCAATGTGAAACAATTGAGATTACACAGATTTTTGAAATGAAATTCTTACCCCGCAGAAATTGCCATTGGCATAACACAGGATGAGATTGCACAGGACTGGGAATGGCTGCAGGCGAATCTCTTCAATGTGCTCAACGAAATGGAGAACGAGGACGAAGTTACTAACTTTACCATATGCAAAATCAAATCGCTCTATACACAAAATAACCAAGATGAAACTGGGGAGACGGCCGACTTCAAGGTGATGACCTCACAGTTCCGAAAAACCTTCAAAATGCCGGAGGAAGAACGTCTGGTCAACTCCTACTCGGCCACGTAAGGCTTGCTGGCATAATGTGGATGCATTAACAGCATCTAAATTGATTGTTTTTCCATTCCCAGATATGTTAAGAACAAGATACCGCGACAGGGTCAGCTGTACATCTCGTTGAATCACGTTTGCTTCTACTCGTATATGCTGGGACATGAGATCAAGCGGATAATACGCTTTGCCGAGCTGGAGGACATCAGTCGGAATGCAAACACGATTTACTTGAAAACCACCAATAATATGACGTATAATTTCACGCTGATCTTCAATGCCGGCGAGGCGCATCTGCTGATCGAGCAGCTCAACAAAATGGCCATACAACAGTTGATTCAGGATCCAGAAAGTCCCGTGGTCGATCATGATCCCTCGAACTTTGCCCGTCTGGGCACCAAGACATCCAAGAAACCGGTGCTGCTCAGAGACCTGACAGCACGCCAAAAGTCCGAAGAGTTTCGCATTTACTTCCGCTTGCCACAAACGGAGATAATCGATGGCAAGATCAAGGCAAACATTTGGACACCCTACTCGAAGCGCTTCAATGCTGGCTACATTTATCTGTCGCCCAATTTCTTTTGCTTTCGCAGCGATGTGAAGGATTTGGTCAGTGTGGTTATACCCATGAAAACGATTAAGGTAAGGGGGAGAATCGGCCTCTGACTGAAGTTTCATTTCATTGTTTGTTTTCCTTTGCAGAGTGTGGAAAAGAAGGATGATGGGCAGCAGCGTTTTGACAATCAAATTGTCATCATTACGTCGGAGAATGTGCCTTTTATGTTTGCCCAAATCGTGGCTAGAGAGGTGCTCATATCAAAAATCACAGATCTTCTCTCCCGCATTCATGTGTAAGTCTCATCGGAGCCCATTTGTATACAAATAATGCACCATTTCATGTTCTGTTTATCTCTTGCAGCCCCGTGAGTCGTGAACGTGCCAAGTATGACATCTCGTGGAGCAAGCAGACAGCCCTGATGAACACATTCAAGACACAGTTTAGTGCAGAAATCATTCGAAATCAGGAGGAGAAGATGGTGCGTTGGGAGGCGCATTTCCGTGACTTTGGACGCGGCATTGGCATGTTTCGTACCACCGATGTCATAAATCTTATTGTGGAGGGCATACCGGACCAGTTGCGTCAGGAGATTTGGTTGATCTTCTCGGGTGCCATTCACGACAAGGAAATGAATCCCGGCTTGTACGAGGATCTGGTGGAGAAGGCTGCCTGCATTAAGGATTGCTTTGCACACGATGAAATCGACAGAGATCTGCCACGCTCGCTGCCCGAGCATCCGGCATTCCAGAGCACTGACGGCATTGGTGCATTGAGGCGCGTGCTGCAGGCCTATGCCCTGCGCAATCCGCAGGTGGGTTACTGCCAGGCCATGAACATTGTATCGTCGGTATTTCTGCTGTTCTGCGACGAGGAGAATGCCTTCTGGATGTTGGCCAGCCTGTGCGAGAATCTCTTGCCGGACTACTACAAGGACAAGGTGGTGGGCGCCCAGATAGACCAGGGCGTGCTCAATGAACTGGTGGAAACACATCTGGCCGATCTGCACGAGCATCTGGAACAGCTGGGCGTCATCAAAATGATCTCCATATCATGGTTCCTCACCATCTTCATGAGTGTCATCAGCTACGAGAGCTCGCTGCACATCCTCGACTGTTTCTTCTACGAGGGTGCCAAGATTATCTTTATGGTGGCACTGCAGATCATCGAATGGAATCGCGACAAGCTGCTTAAGTGTCAGGACGATGGCGAGGCCATGCTGGTGCTGCAAAACTATCTGGAGGGCATTTACAATCCCGACTATCAAGTGCCACCCTCGACGGACAAGCGCAAGATGGAGCGCTCACAGACGCAAACAGTGCAAACGCTCATCCACGAGGCGTACACAAAGTTTGGCGAGGAACTCACACAGCAGCGTATCGAGGAGCTGCGCAACAAGCATCGCCGCCTAACCATGCGTCAGTTTGACGTTGACAACGAGAAGACCATCGTGAAGGCCTATCTACAGAATCCCTATTTCGATCGAAATGAGCTGCACATGCTGCTCACCATTATCAGAGAGGAAAAGCATGCCCTCAAGTCCATGCAGCAGCAGCAGAAGACACAGTGTTCGCTGTCGGAGACGCCACAGCTGCTGATGCATCAGTCGCCCACTAAGGTGCCGAATGAACCCATTCCTTGCGGTGGCGGCAATGGCAGGCATGAGGCCTACTGCGTCAACTATGAGGTGTTCCACACGCTCTTCACAGAGCTAACACCCTGGCGGAAGTGTGTCAGCGTGGACATTGGCGAAAAGTTGTTCAGGGTAAGCGGAAGGATTGTGGAGAAACTGCAGGCAGATTTATAGTTTATTTTCTTTGCGTGTTTTTGCAGCTGACAGACAAGAAGGGCACGGGCTATCTGGATTTTGGACAGCTCATCAACGCCTTGGGCTTGGTGTGCTCCGGCAAGAGCATGGAGAAACTGAAATTGCTTTTTGTTTTGCATTTGCCGCCGCTCTTGTCCAAGGCGGAAATCGAAAGATCTCGTCGTCCACGTCCACGCACCAAAGACGATGCCGAGGAGGCCTTCGAGGCTGAAGATTTCTTCGAGTGAGTGGAAATTGATATTCCTAAGCTACACAGAAATCTGAAACTTATTTATTCCTTTGTAGCGACGATGCTTCAGAGTCCATGGAGGCCTTGCCCTCGCCCTCGGATCATCAGTTCGATGCGGATGATTATGCTCTGATCAGCGCCACACAGCATCTGCATAATCTGGCTGGAATATCGGGCAATACATTCATGGATCTATCGCGCAATACGCCGAATCTATCGCTGAATTCCAACACCTCCTCGCTGGCGCAGCGAAATTCAACATTTTATGTGGATCTGCCGACAGGAGCATTCCCGGGTACTACTACTGCAACACGCTCCGATGCTGGGCGGGATGACGACGGCCAAGAGATCGGCCTACGCCAGCAGGGACGTTACGAATCGATTGACACATTTTCGGATATTTCAGATTTGGGAGCGGCACGAATGACGCCGCCGCTGGGAGCGACAGCTGGAGCAGCCTCAGCTACCGCTGCTGCTGCTGCCGCTGCTGCAGCCGATAAAATGCTTCTGAATGTCGAGACTATATCGAATTTCTCACAGATCAGTGACCTGGTTGCTGCCACGCGACTCGATCGCGCCGACTCAAATGCCACGGACTCCAGAAGCCTGGGCAGCCTTGGCTATCTGCTGGATCAGCCCGATGAGGGCGCCTCGGGCTCACGTCAGACCATTCCGCATTTGCGCAAAGAGAACTTCCAGCTGCTGTGGCGCAGCATCATCGAGATCATGGGCTGTGTGCAGGACGAAGAGATGCGAATGGCATGTAAGTGATGGGCAGAAAAAACTCTCCTATTGGTTGCATTTTAAGCCGCTTTTTCTTTATAGATGACAACCTTTTGGAGCTGGGAAACAGCAACATAAAAAAGGAGCCCAGTCTGGAGAGCTTCACCCAACTGAATTTGGGCGGCAGCGGCGATGAGGTGAGCCTTAAACCTAGCCAAACTATTGCAGAATAATCCTCTAATTCTGTTCCATAGCAACCGGATAGCAATGGCAATCCCACAACACCGGCAGCAGAGCACAGCAGCACCACCCGTCTGTTTGTGGCACTCGAGGAGGAGCTGCGTGAAGCGAGTGGGAAGGCCACCAATAGCAGCCGGGATAGCAGCAGCAGCACAAACACCTCCGAGGCCTGGCACATATCCATAAATCAATTTATAGCCACCGTGCTCACGGTCAACAGCATTGTCGAAGGTTTCCAAACACCCATCCAAATAACCGAACAGATTGAGCAGCTGCAAAAGAAGCGACGCAAGTGTCTGTCCACCAACTACTGAATGAATATCCCCCAGCTCCTGCCATCAGCCCCAGTCCAGTACAATAATCTCCAACCCCCCAACCAAATCCTAGCCCGAAATCTGTATTAGCTCTCCTCTCCCCTGGATCGATCGATCTTCGTGCAATGGAGCATCGGTAAGCTTTTAATCGTATCCCATGTTCAATGTATGTATATTGTGGTATTGCCTTCTACCTTAAGTTAAGACAATTGTTTGTGAATATAATTCTATTATTCCTATTATAAAACGAGGTGTCTACACACTACATATCCATGGCTACCTGCTGTTGCTGTTCGATTCTCCTATTTACCGCCGCCTGTTCACGCTCATTCTCCGCCGTACGCACCAGGCACTCCTCGTACGTCCACTTGGGGAAGACTCGCTTGTACAGGTACATAAAGGCCGTGTCGTAGGAGCGTAGCTGGCCATCGAAATAGCACTTCATGTGGCCATGCGTGCCCAGCGACTCCTTGATGTGGCCCAAACGACCGCACTTGGTCCTTAGTTTGACGGGCTTAAAGTACTCCACGTCCTCCTTGTAGAAGAACATGTAGCGTATCGTGGCCGATTTGCGATTGATGCGCATGGGATGGCCACTGAGTACGACGCGCTTCAGCACAATGCGATCTGGATTGCACGAGATGAGGCGTCCGCGTGCCACCAAAGCCAGCGTCGAGTCTGGATTCACTTTGAAGGCCAGCACAGCGGATGGAGGGAACTGAATGGGTGCATAAAACGTGGCGCAAACTGTCTCATACGGACGGAAGTAGCGTTCAAACTGGAAAAGAAAACAAGCATATTAGCATTAGGGATTCAAAGGGAAGATCAGAGAGTTGTCAATCCTCACCTTGTGCTTATCTCCGTTGGTGTGTTGACTGTAGATGGGATTAACCACAAAGCGGCGATAGCCACACTGCACAATCAGCTCCTCCTTGGACTTGAGCGGCACCTCAGAGTCGGGCATGCGCTGCAGAACGACATTCATGACGCACATTTGATGTTCGTGCGGCAGCATGCCATAAACAATGATGTTGTCCGTGAGGTGGGCGGATTTGAAGGCGGTCCAACGACTTCCGGGAACATTGATCACATGCAGCGTGATGTGGAGACCAGGCTGCAAAAAAAAGAGAAGCGAAATTAGAAGCGACTCCACAGTGGAATTTGAGATTAAAAATCTCACCTGAACACCCTCGAAATCCTTGGCTTCGGTGAGAACCCTCCTCTTGGTGCGATCGAAATTCTTGAATTGATAAATGCGAGAATAATCGCTGGGCAGATTCTCCTTGGCATCCCATGGCGATGTCCGGAAGGATTCGAGTCCGCGATATTTCTGGAAACGCTCGTGGGCGGGCACATCCAGTGGTGTGTCTATCTCGTCGGGCCAGAGCTGATCTGTGCGTGCCTGCTGCAGTTTCTGCATGGTTTCACGCTCCTCCTGGAAGTCCATCTGCTGATCGTATTTTTCGTCATTGACTGCCGCCTCCGAGGACACTGAGACGCTGTCCTGGAACTCCTCCGTGTCAGAGTCGCGTTTCTCGTATTCATCCTCGAAGGATTTGTTGTCGCACGACATGAAGTCCTCATCCTCCTCATCATCATCGCTCATGTCATCGTCATCGTCTTCGTTCTTGTCTGCATCCTCCACCTCCTCGATGTCGGGTATCCAGGCCGCCTGGTAATCGCTGAAGCCCTTGGGCACACGCTTGACCAGCTTCATCTTTTTGGTTTCCTTCTGGGAGGCCTCGATCTCCTCCTCGGTGGGCCATGTCTGCTCTGCGTCCATGGGATCGGGTATGTTCTCGCTCTGCAGCGACGTTCGCTTCAGTGGATCACTGCGTGCAAGCACTTGCGCTGCCGCATTGCCATTCCGTGACTTGTCGAGCATGTACGGATCGGGCTGTGCAATCACCTGACCCACCTGAAAGTCACCGAGCCCGGGAATGTGCACCAATCCATTGACATTCAGCGACTGTCCACGCAGGAAGCCAGTCACCTCGAGCGTGCCCAAATCGTCGCTTGGCTCGCCACTGGGCTTAAACTCCACAATGTCACCGAAGAGATGCGGCCGATTCTCCACGTTGTGCAGGATTCGTTTCTTCTGCCCACCGATGCGACGCATCACGTTCAGTCCCTCGGCGGCGGTGTCCAACTGCATCAGCTTCTCCTCGGGCAGCAGCTTGGAGATGAATTTCTGTGCCGCCTGCTTGGCGGCAGGACGACGCTTCGGGTTCAGTGACTCCAGATCCATGAGGGTCACCACTGGCGTGGGTATACCCTGGGCGGAGATCATATTGAACATGCGCTCGCCCCACCGATCGAAGATCTCGTCATCGCCAAAGGCTGCAGATGTCAGCAGCACCGTTGTGTCGCACACCTTGAGGTAGTCCAGCACAATCAGCTCATTGCCGCGTCCCACGGGCGGTGTGACGAAGGCGAAACGCTGCTTGAAGCGCGGCAGATTCATGTAGGTAATCCCGCTGGGGGAGCTCTCCACTACCAGCTCGCTGTCACAGCCCTCGAGAATGGCCAGCGCTGACTTGGGATCGATCTGCTCGTGCATGGGCAGCAGACACACCAGAAACGGCGCCGTGGTCTGGCCGCCAAGCTTCCGCTTCTGCTCCAGCACCTCGTCGCGTTTGTTCTTTCGCAGTTGGTTCTGCTGGTTGCGTCGCTGCTCACGGCGCTGCTGCTGCTTGTGCCGGTGCGAGATGGCCTTAAGACCGATTTTGCCTGCATTAAGGATAATATTTATGATTTTGGATTCCTACTTCACACTTGTGGCGCCCGCTTACCTTTCGTTGCATTCTCGATGGCTCCCTTGGAGCGATGACGTCCCGTTTTGTGCGCCTTGTTTGTTTGCTTTAGCGGCCCCGGTCGATGGAAATCGTGATCCGCCATGGTTGCAGGTATTTTTACCAAAGATTCAGTAAATTTACGCTGTTTTGGTTTTTTGCACGTGTTTTGAAAGAGCAGACAAACAGTGTGGCCGTGGGCTTATCAACAAAAATATACCGGAGGAATCCTTAGCATTTCTTAAATATACCAAATCTAGGAAATTCGCTACGGAAAATGGTCACACAATAACACTGCGCTCAACAGCACATTGTGAGTTGTGCGCCACCCAAACCAATTTAAATTTGAAATTAAAACGCTCCACCTTATTGTTTTCTGTTTAAACCACATTCAATGTAAATATGTATTTGTTGTTTATGGTATAGACATTCGTCTGCTTGGATATAACGCTGTTTAGCTGCTAGTTTGTACGCCTCCCGCATATGATATATTTGCAGTGTGCACGCATCTCGTTGCGTTTTGCCGCTGCGCTCTCTCTGTTGTTGCGGGGGGCGTGGAGATTAAAGTTATAACTTTGATTATTTGTAACACTCCTCCTGCTATGACTTGGTTTATGTTGCGGCAGATGTGGCAGATGGGGCTTAATTAGAGAGCTTTAACTAACTCAATTGCAAGGGGTATTCATTAGTGTTTTTTCCGCGTGTAAATAATTTTCAAAGTTCAAACCAACATTCTTGTGGCTGGTTTTTCGGTGTGGATTTAAAAACTTAACGATAGGCCATAACAATTAAGTTGTTTAACAATAGAGAACCAAAAAAATGTTTGGTAATTAGGTATAATAATAATTGGGTTTTAGTTGTTTTTTGTTTATAGTTTTTATAGGTAAATTGAGTGATTGTATTTTTGTTGACTAGGATTTGGTTCCCTTCATCCTTCCATGGGTCCTGCTCCTGCTGTTCCTTGCGCCCAAGGACGTGCTGGACAAATCTCAATGTTGCATGATTTTGCTGCGATTTACGTTCACGATTTCCAATTCCTAATCCGTTTTGGAGTGAGTTCTGCTGTTGCTTCTTCTCTGCTTAGTTGAGGTTTCGCCTCGTTTTAATAAAGTACATTTATGCATTTGTTTTTTGTTTTTTGTTTTTTGTTTTGTATATGGATATATCATATATATGATTCTATATACTCTATATATATATTGTTCAATATTTTATGCACTCGTGGCACGCCTTAAAGTACATATCTGACTGCACGCCCCCCAAACGTTAACCAAAAATTCCAATTTACATACAAAATGCTAACCATACCGCACATACCAACATGAGTACTTCCTCCTGCCCTGTTCCCACCCCCCGTACTATCCGCTAGGGTCTTAAAAAATTGTGTGTGTGTCCTGTCTGTATATCTGTGTGTATCTGTGGGTTGTCTTTGTGTGTGTGTGTGTGTGTGTTTTCTGTGTGTTTTTTATTAAATGCAGAAGTTCGACTTTTGCCCAGCTCCTGCCCATACCCATCGACGTTTTTTCCCTTTGATCTGTGTCTCTTTTCTCGCTCGCTTTGTCGGGACTTGTTCCTGTCAATCTTTTGTGCAAGGAATCGGGGTGGATGTGGGTGTAAAAAATTACATGTTCCGGCACTGGGCACAGACGGAGCGCGCCTTTGTATTGTCACGCACAAAATCATGCACATTGAATTTTCCATCATCGCCATGGTCGTAGCCGCGACTCTTCAGCTGCCTGCAGGGGACAACAAACAAATGAAAGCAGACTTCCCAGAAGCAACTTATGGCAGGACTTACCTAGCCACCGCTGTAAAGGCCAGCTCCACATTGAGTCCCGTCTTGGCTGATGTCTCCATGAATGGCACGTTGTGCTCTCTGCCCAGGCGCTCGCCATCCTCCCGCTTCACCTGTCGCTCACTGCCACTGCAATCGGCCTTGTTGCCTGGTGGTTGGCAGAGAACAAAAAGTGAATTTGATTCGCAAATTCGTAAGTGGATTAAAGCGTGTCGGCTAGTGGGGACGGCAAAAAGCTTTCATCCCACGCCAGGCCATGCTCCTCACCTATTAAAACGATGACCACGTCCTCCTGTGCGTACTCCCTGATCTCCCCCAGCCAGGCGCGTATGTTGTCGTAGGTGGTCTTGTTGGTCACATCGTACAGCAGCAGCAAAGCTTTTGGTTTTCGGTGTCCATGTCCATGTCCATGTCCATGTGGGTGTCCATGGCCGTGTTGATTGCCAGTTCGCATGCAGATTTCAGACAAATTGAATTAGCATCAAAGGGGGCCTGTGGATAATTACAAGAGGGATAGCGGTGCATGGGCATTGAGTGCTCACCGTGTGCATCCCGGTAGTAGGCGTGTGTAACGCTGCGGAAACGCTCCTGCCCGGCTGTGTCCCAGATTTGTAGCTTCACGCGTGTGCCATCGACGACGACCACTTTGTTCTGGATTGTGCAACACGATTTATAAATGCAATTAATTAAATACATATTGTTTTAAATGCACAAACACACACACACACACGAAATGCGAGCATGAATATCCAATTGTTATGTAAAATGCAATTAATTCACACAAAATGTTTCATGCATAACAACCGTGCCCAGAACTTAACACAGAGTAAGAGGAGAAATAAACAGATGGTGAGAGAGAGAGAGAGAGAGAGAGAGGGGGCTACGCATAGCGTATGCTTAATGCATCACCCATACGCAGCGTGTCCAATTTTATTGCAGACCAGCAAACACTCGCATGCAGGCAGAGGCATACACATTTATAAGACACACAGCAATACCCATGATGAAAGTACAAGTACTCCCATAATGAGTGGCAGACATTTCGGCCATTGGCAGGGCCACTCCACTCCACCCCACCCCACCCCACCCACTACTAACTACTCAGACATTGAGTCAATAGCCTGAAAGATACACACACTTACACAGTTGAACACCAAAAAGGTACGAGCATAAAGATAAATGAATGCTTTGCCTTTTCCAAATGTGTGTGTGTGTGGATGGGGCATTGATTTGATTTCATTTTCATTTTCATTTACGTAAAAGATAAACCAAAGAAAAGTTTTCCAACTGAGTAAACAAAATGCACTGACAGAATTTATTAGAGCATCTTTCGATGGGGGGAACTAGTTGGAAATAAATCAAAAATAAATACATTTCTACGTAAATTAAACATTCATTTACTTTATGTGTGTGTGTGTGTGTGTGTGTGTGTGTGTGTTCTGCTGATTACAAGTTTGGCCAAGACTCAGCCAAGCTGAAAAATCAACTTGAAAATGAGTCAACTCTCCCCCAGGTTCAGGGTATTCCACCAATGCCTCAAAGTTAGACAATGCCCCGGGATCGACATACATTTAATGTAGAGACAACATGGCAACAATTTAAAGTCAAGGAAACCCAGGGCAGCCCTCTGGCAGGCAGGCACTTGAAAACATTTCTTGGGAGTGTAAGGAAGAGACATAGAGACAGCAGATAGAGAACATGTTAAAGACAATTCCCGCTTGTATTTTAATAAATTTATGAGCCATGAAACAGCGACAGAGATAGAGAGATAGAGAGAGAGAGAGAAAGAAGACATAGAGAAGGAGAGAGTAAGCCTTGAGGGCAGGACAAAACTCGTAAGCCTCTAAATGTTGAACGGCACACAAACCGCACAATAATGAGCATAACAAAATTACAACAACTTAAACGAGCACACACAGATGGAGATACATTGGGAGCAACTGCAAAAACACAGATACAAAGATACATTTACAGGTACACACATACGAATGTGTGGAAAAAGCATCAACAAGTCCTTTTCAAGTTCACATGCTTTTTAATAAATAGTCCCCCAAGGATCTTTAGCAACAGGACCCCCCGGGGCCTGCAGCACAAGCAAACACACAGACACACAGAAAGCAGACAGCAAGCAGAGGGTTACAGGGAACATGGAATGGGTATGTGGATGGGGATGAGGTTTGAGGTTTGAACAAGAACTAAACGTAAAGAGGACAACCGCAGGCGGTGCTACGAAAACCGCAACTCATAGAGCAGCTCACAAACAGAGAGAGAGGGGGAAGAGACAGAGCGCGAGCGGCAGAGAGTGGCGGAGGGTAAATATACACAGAGTGAGTGTGAGAGAGAGAGAGAGAGAGGTAAGCAGGTGAAAATCGCATTGAAAGCCTTGACAACTGTTGACAGGAGACACACACAGAAACAGACAGAAAGAGGAGCAGAGAGAAAGAGCAGGAGAAAGACATAAGAGTAGGATAGTGAATGGCTGGATGGATGGATGTTTAACACACAGAAGAACAGAGAGACAGAGAAAGAGAGACAGTGAGAGAGAGAGACACAACACTTAGAAAGAACAACAATTACAACAACGAGAACAACAACAACAAAGAGAAACAACAACAACAACAACAACGAAAGACTTTTAGTTGTATTTTTTTGGGGGGTTTGGTATTTAAGCGCCTCTTACCCTAAAATCAATGCCAACGGTGCTCAGGAAATAGCTGGGCACATAGCGACCATCGCGGAAACGTATCAAAAGCGAAGTCTTGCCCACTCCCGAATCGCCCAGCATAATGACCTATGTACATGTATGTACATATGCATGTAAATATGTACAAGATTATGTATGAGTCAGTGTAAGCATTTAAATGACTTTCTGTGGCTTATGCTAAATATTTGATGAAATGAAATGAGCTAAGCTGACTGCTTATGAGGATAGTCCTTGGCCCCAGCCCACAGCACAACCAAATTGCTTCGCTTGTTGACTTTTAATGCTGGAAAAAGGTTTATTTTTTGGGTTGTTGGCTTAGTTATCTAAACATTGCAATTGCAATGATTTGACTGGGAAATGTAATATTTGCCAGCAGCTGCTACACACAAAAATATAAAGAGAAACTATGCACAGCGAAAGTTTTGGACTGAGCTGGAAAAATGTAATTTCGGGCACAATTTAAAGGAGTCCTAAAGCTGCCCTGCTGCCAAATGAATCTTTTTTTTTATGCAGCTTTCAGTTGATATATTTTTTATTCCCCTGACATTTGCTTGGCAGGCGGTCGTGGCAGGAAGTCGTCGTCGCCGCCGCATGGCATTCTGTCATAATTCTCTAGAATTACTCTAATCAACAGCAGCTGCAGACGAAAAACTTTCTTCTTCTCAGCAAACTGCGAGAGTCTCAGACTCTGCCCTGTTTGCTTTTTGTTTTGTTTAATTTCCTTTTGTCACTTGGCACTTTATTGAGTTTTATGACTTTATTTTGTTGCCTGCTTATGCAAATCACATTGTAAATCAGGACCAAAGCCGATCCAGTGCCAGAACGAATATAAAAGCCAGCAGCAACTCGTAAAAAGAGACCGAAAAACAGACAGCAAGACAGTCAGACAGCCAGCCAGTCAAATAAAAAGGTATAAAACATAAATCAAATTGTGGCTGCCTTTGTTGTCGCTCCCTTTTTTATTTTGCTTATTTTTTGTGCATGCAAAAAAGCGGCGTTTGCCGCATTGAATCGAGAGCGAAAGGATGCTCCAATTTGGATTTTCTGATATACTTTCTGAATGGATAAATGACGTTTGGCTGATTCCCCAATTTGTGTTCTCCCTTATTCACCTTTCCCATAATGTCAAAGTCCTCGTCCTCGTCCGGTGGGTTGCCAGATGAAATCATTCGTATGAGCGCCCGTCCGGCGCTCTTGCAGAGCGTGGCACTGGCTCCCTCGCTGCCCGGACCTGGAGCTGGTGGAGCCACAGTTGGAGCTCTGCCATTGCCATTGCCATTTCCATTGCCATTGCCATTACCATTACCACCAGCATTAACGCCACCTCCACCGCCGCCAGTGTCCAGCAGCGGCTGCTGCTCGGAGCCCGAGGTTAGGCGCACGCTGCTCAGACGTGCCATGAAACCATTGCCACTGGACAGATGTGGCGACTGTTGGGCCTGGAACAGGGACGATGCTGTCATAAATTCGGGCAGCAGCGGCTGCTGGGAGATCGACTGCTGTCGCTGATGGACAATCACGCTGGGCCGCCGCTTCGGGTAGCCATCGTCATCGGAGTCGTCCGAGTTGATGCCGTTGATCTTGTCCAGCGTCTTGGGTGGCAGCTGGCCCGGTGTGATGTGCTGCCAGGTGGGCTTCACCAGTGACTCACGGCGTGTGGGCGAGGCATTGGCCAGAGGTGAGGGCGAATGCGAGCCACTGGCTGCTGCTATTGAGGGCTTCCTGCCGCCCGACAGCGAGGGGCTGGCAATAGAATCGCTGCGGTAACGAGTCTGCTGACGACGCATCTTTGAAACCGTTTCTGGGGGGCTGGAGCTGGAGCAGAGCGGAAGTCCTTCCTTGTCGATTGAGTGGCTTGATTCTATATTTAACACACGCACAGAAATCAATAAACTGGGTTCAACTTTCCCAGATGCCAGATACATCTTCATTATTGTGAAATGAAAACCGAATACCGAGTACCGAAAACCGAAAAACGAAAAGCAACCCCCAAGGAAGGGAATTCCCTCCGCCAACAGATGGAACCCTTCAAGTTTGTTTAGGTCTCAACGCACACACACAAACACACACACACACACACACACACAGTTGTATTTACATATGTACATTATTATGTACAATATTTTGATGTATCTTCTGGAAGATACAACAAAGTCATTAAAACTCATTAAAAACCATAAACAAGCAAAGAGAGCAAAAACTTTCATTATCCATAAAAATGTAAAATGTAAAATTCAAATTTCATTTCTCACTTTACACTCACCCCCGCAGATCTAAGTCCCCCCCGCAGGAATAAAACAATGAATGAACAGGTGCAAATTGAATTTAATTTGTTTGTGCCACTCGCTGAAAATGAAATGAAAACCGAAACCCAGAAATGCTGCAGGGCATCACTCTGTTCTGGCGTTGACAACAAGCAGACGGCATGGCCTGGCTGTGCGTATCAGTGGTCAAAGGTGCGGGGTGGCTGTTGTGGTTTTTTGTCGCTAAATCAACAGTTGGCAAGCAAAAACCGCAGCCCAACAACCAGGCAAAACAACACACGGAACGGCAACAGGCACGGGCAACCGAAATGGGGAACGCTTTTTCGAACTAATTATGCGTTGTGGCAGCCACAAAGGCGGCGAGAGCGGTGGGCGTGCCACACGCAGCCTTGTGATTAACTGCCGCTCATTAACACCCAAGAAATGCTCCTAGAAGAGCTGTCAATAAACTGATTTTACACCAAGTTCCCCCGTTCATAGCATACTTTTTGGGGCAGTGAAACATTTGGGAAAAATATTAAACTAAATTGCTCAACCCACGAACAATTCATTTTAAAACATAATGCAGAAATAACATTTTACACCAGGTGAAAGGTCACAGAACTTTTACTTGCTTCGACATTTCGGAAAATGCCAATTCAAACTTTAATTTAACTTGCTGCCAAACAAAATTTGTTCAAATGCCAATGCTCGTCTCGTATCAATTGATAAAACCCTTTTGAAAAAGCCTCAGACGGTTTCGAAATTGCTCGACCATTGTGCACGGCTGTCTGCGTCCTGTCGCTTTACCTGCGAATCAGCAGGCGTCTGTTGAGCCGGGGGCTTGCTTTTATCCCACTTTGGCAGCTCCTTAAAATGTTTTTTTTATGGCACGCCGAGTCGTGGGGCGTGCGGATTAGAGTGGATGGACAACTTTTCGCCATGCAGGTCAACGGCAACGACGCGTCGAACACGTGCAAACACGTTAACTACTTTCTGAAAGACGCATAAAGTCGCGTTCATCGTCGTTCATTCTCCATGAGTGGAAGTGAAGTGCCCAAGATGAAATGACAGTGAAATTGGATAGCCCTCGGGTCCCCCGGGTTCCATTTGTTAGAGCAGAAAAAGTATACATTTACCAATTAGGATTTTACAATTCCTGGAAGCGAAACCACTCACATTCGAGCACCTTAAATTATATACAAAAATTCCAAATAAATTAGAACGAGAATGTGGACGAGTTTACGACCATGGATTGCCTTTGTCCAGCTGCCAGCTGCTTCCCTTTTCATATATTTTTCATACTTTTCTCTGTTTTTTGTGTCTCTGTTTTTTTTTATGCAAATATGGCGAATGCTATTTGAAAAGTTTACCCTTTTTGTTGCCTCTGGGGCAGTAAGGTGTCGATCCATGAAATAACCTTTCGGGCAACCGAACCATTCAGCAATTTACTTTAATCAACTTAAACGCAAATGTTGATAACAAAAGTTTTTAATTGGGTTGTCGCTGCTCTTCGACGCCGCTGCTGGTGACAACAGCCAACAAAAAAATGAAAGTAAGCAATGAAACAAAATGTAAAAAGGAAAAGCAAAATTTCCTTTCTCTGAGTACACGAAAATTGCTGTTCAAAGCTAAAAGTTAAGCAGAATTTTGGTTCCCTTTTCCTCCATAAATTGAGTGCGCAGGAGACAGTGGAGATGAAGAGTGAAGTGGAGTGAAAATTGTGAACTGTTTTGGGGCATTCGTCGTGTAATTATACAAAGCAAAAGCGAGAACATGCTAGGTGGGTTAGCCCCAAGGACGGTTCAATGCACAGACAGCACAAGCGATGGGCGAGGGGCGGCACACGGCCCACTGCCCACAGCGTATATCCACACACAGACGGACAATCGAGGGACACGCTCAATCACGCGGCTTAACCGGCAGCGAAGGAGCAAGCGGCAGAAGCAGACGACAGACGGCAGACGGCAGACGGCAGACAGGAATGCCAGACAATAGTTTCCTGATTGCATGAACAGCTTTAAGGAAATGAAAAGCGTCAAGGCAGAGACAGCCCCAAACCCTCTCCCACATGCGCACACAGACTTTTCTGGGGAAAACTTCAAGCAAATTGACAGGACAAAAGCAAAACGTTTTCGCGTGAAACATTTTCAAGATAGCTAAAGTCCACTATCATCCGCTTACACAGCTCTGACCATAATTCACTTCCATTGCAGCTTGGAGTAGACAGAGAGAGAGAGAGAGAGAGAGGAAGGAAGGGAGAGTGAGAGTTAGAGGATGAAAAATTCCCCCAGAGATTTGTGATAGTAATCGGCTTAAAAGGCGATTCAAGTGACTGCCGTGCCGCCATGTGCCCCTACTCAAGAGAGAATCCCTCTGGAAATTTCGAAACGAGAAGAAACAGCACAGAGGACACCTGTGGAAATGCTTTGGGGCAGGGCTACAATGTCCTTCTTTGAAGTTTACAGCAGGAGCAAATGCTTTTAATTGCGAAATCGATGTAAAGCATTGGAAGCGAATGCCCATCCAAAGCAGCCTCCGTTTCCCAGCAGCAGCCTTGAAAAGAAGCCACGAGCAGCTTAAAAAGTTTCCTTAAATTGCAGCCAGACAAACAGATAGTTCGACCTTCGACTGTTGTGGAATTGATGCGCAATTTTATGGCTCGTTCGCATAATTAGTGCGCATTTAAAAGAAAGAACACTGGGAGTCAGACTTGGACTCGGACTTGGCACTCCACATCCCAGACAGTCCATGAATCAAAGGTGAAGACGAACTTGATTATAATCCAATGCGTAGCTGCAATTTCTTTTCAGACAAAAGACAGAGGAGAGAGCTGGGAATCCGACCAACTCTTTGTACAAAGATTGATTAGTTTCAGTGATGAGCTGGGGCTGTAATTAATAGTGGAAATGGCAAGTGTATACATACTCCCACATGTGTGCACAAAATTAAATTAGAAATATTCCCACTTCGCGTTTAATTACTGGAACTTCCACAAACTTCCACGCTTGGTCATGTCATCCATCACACATCATTAGAGGTTCACTTTGATCTCTCGCGCACATCAAACAGATTAACAAATTAGATGCCAAGGCAACCCCTCGCCAACCACAAAATCCACAATTATTTTCAGCTGCATTTCAATAATTGAAATAATAAAGCGATGCCATAAATGTTTGTCCAGCATAAATGTTTCAATTGAATTTCAATTATTTTTGAACACGCGCAGGACCTTGTTCCCCCCGTGAATACCACAAAACACAACCGCACAGAGACACACAACAGGGACGGGGAAAGTAAGCGCCAAAAAGGAGTGAGAATATAAATTGTGGCGCGCAACAGCGAAATGCAAAGGTGCAGCTCCTGCCACAAATGATAACCAAAATTTCGAATATTTTCACTTTTACGTTACTTTAAAGTTGGTTTCTTCAGTCAGCAAAATGTATTTTTGGGCTAAAGCGTAGCAGCTTAAGCTGGATGGAGAGAGAGTAAGAGTGTAAGCTTGGGATTGCGCGCCCGTTGATGCTTATCGAATCGTCCTTTCGCAGCAGAGCTCAAAGCTAGACTGACTGGAGCCCGACAAGCCCAAAAAAAGGAGCCCAAAGCTGGGTGGCCCACAACCAAAGTGTATGAAACGAAGGTGAGGCGTGTGCTGACGAGCGCTCTCTGGAAGGTATTCTGCTTGTATCAAGCACAGCTCGTGAGAGCGTGGCCATGGCAATGTGTTCACCTCGTTTCCATACACACAAAGTGACCGAGACCTTCGCTTGCTTCGGCTAACTTCGGGATTGGCTTTGGCTTTGAAATAGCAGCAGCAGCAGTAGCCCTGGCCTAGAAACGTGATGCGAACGGGGGTTGGGTTGGTCGCTGGGTGTGCAATGAAACTGAGCTGCAGCCACAAAAGGGGCAGAGAGAGAGAGAGAGAGAGAGAGAGAGCGAGAGAGAGAGAGAGAGAAAGCCAAGGCAAATGAAACGGTTGCACTTGAACTTCATTGGCGGCCATTGTGGCAGGTAGCTGCTGGTAGCTTGTGGCTCTGTTCGTGTTATGTGCTCGTGCGTGTCGCTGCCTGTCTCTCGCTGTCTGTGTGTCTGTGTTTTTGCAGTGAAAGTGAAAGCAGCAACAGGTTCTGTGTGTGTGTGGGTGTCAATGTGTGCCAGCTGCAGACACATTTTAAGCAGAAGGGCAATCAGCGTGCCAACAACGTGGAAATAGCTGCCTGCGAGTTTATAAAAATATTTACATGCCTTTGGAACGAACACAACAACAAAATAAAATCAATTTGAGGCATTTACGCACAAGTGGGAGGACTACTCACTCCACAGTACGTGTGGGCATGCCCAAAAATAGAAAATCCCCAGCGATTACAGCAAACAATATGTTGCCTATTTAGCCGCGAAATGCTCGTACACTGCCCGAAAGGTCACAGCAGGTTCAGGGTTCACTCAAGTGTTTGGGCAATTGTGTTTTCTCGCAGTGTGGTTTCAAGGGGTGTGGCGGGGATGCTTGGGGTAACGGTAACGCGTAACGGCTTTGGGCAGCTGTTGTCCAATTACACACACAGCAAGCAAACACAGAGGCAGAGGCAGAGACAGAGACAGACACTGAAAGGACTACCAGGCGGGGTACAAAAGCGAGCCGAACGAACCCATTCGAATGTGCGTCAATAAGTACATGGGCAAGGTATGGATTGGGGTATGGGTAGGACAGAGCTTCGACTCAGATCACATGGTACGACTGGGGTTTAGGGTTCAGGTTTTTGTGATTTTTTTTGGGTGTATTGGGCGGTTGCTTCATGCAGCAGGCAGGCGCTACAGAGTTGCCTTAAGGCTTGGTTTTTCTACTCACCGTCAGAGCAATGCCCACCGTCGCCGAGAAGGAGCCCAGCCGAAATTCGCCCGTATTGTATTTGACCAGGAAGGATGTCTTGCCCACGCCAGAGTCGCCCAGCAGTATCGTCTTGTGATTAACCGTGTCGTCGAAGGGTTGCAAATTGGCCGTTGGCTGTGCCTGGTGCATGTCCACCTCGTCGTAACGATATGAGCGCCAGCCATCGTCGTAGTCGTCGTAATCATCTCCGGTGCCGTAGGCGTACATTTGGAGAGCTTCTCGTGAGGGTCGATAGCCCGGATATCCTGTGGCTGTGCGCTGAACGGGCGCCATTATGGCGTCGTCATGGTAGTGATGGCTGCTGCCCGTCAGGCTCTGCTGGCTTTGATGATGATGCGGATACTGATGATGATGATGTTGATGATGCTGCTGCTGTTGCTGCTGCTGTGTCGTTGTTGTTGCGGATGCGGAAGCTGCCACTGTGGCTGATATTGAGACGGGTGCGGCGGGGGGATTGTAACAGCCATCGCCAAAGGGCCGACGACGCAACTCCTCGATGCGGGCCTGTGTGGTCTCCGCATCCTCGAAGACATCGTCGCTCATGCTGCTGGCATCGTCGTGGTGGTGCGTTCCCGTTGTTCCCGTTCCAGCTGCCGTTATCCCCGTTGCTGCTGTCGTTGCCATTTTGGACTAGGGACTGGCTTGTGTCTTGGGAAGAGCTTTTATCCTGCACTTTCCTCGCTGTCCTTATGGTTTTAACATTTGAATTATGTGCTTGAGCTTTCTCGCATTCCGTTGTGCTTTCAATCTCTGTGCTCTCTCTCTCTCTCTTTCTCTCTATGTGTGTGCGCTCTCTCTCCTTTGCGGTTATTCTCTCTCTTTATGACTTTGACATTTGCGGGACTATACGTCCCGTCCGGCTGTTTGTTTGTGTGGCACGTTTTCTGAATGAAATTTTTGGTTCTCGGGCTTTTAGAGCACGGTCGAGGGGAGGGGGCGTTGCTATTATTATTTTGTATTTGCAAATAAGCCTAATATTTTCGCTATCCTTATCAGTAGAGTGTCTAGATTCCCTAATCGTTATTCGTTAGTTGTAGTTATTCGTTCCATACAATTGAACTGTATAAGTATTGGTTTTTCCTTGCGGTTGGTTTGCTTTGGTTTTGGTTTTGGTTTGGTGTTTCGTTTAAAGCCACTAATTAGTAGTATCTATTTATGTATGTATATAAATTGCAACTAGCTAAACATATTGACTATCATTTATAGGTTATGCGCTAATTGGTGCTTGGTTTTCACTATTCATTTATGTTTTATCATTAATAATTATTTGCAACTTCTTGCTTGGTGTTTTTTTTCTTTTGGTTAAAGCTTTTTGGTTTTGTTGGTTTGGTTTGACTAGTTTAATTTATTTCATTTAATTGGTTTCTCTCCTCCTCCTCTCGTCGAAAATATTGCGTTTGATTCGTGATTTTGGTGTTGTTGTTGTTCTTGTTGTTGGTGTTGGTATTTCACTATCACAGCATAAATAAAATAATGTCATCGTCGTTGCCGTTGCCGTTGCCGTTTGCCGTCCATGTCGCGCTCTTGCCCCCGCCACGCGAACCCGAACCCCAAAAACCCACAATATTAAAAGAAATATCTGCAGTCTCTAGTTACAGTTGCCTCCTTTCGACTGCCGTCCTGAGCTTTTGCTTTTACTCTCTCTGTCTCTCTTCTTGGCTCTCTTTATTACTTTGACATTTGAAAGTGGAACGTTCTGAACCGAACTGGTTCTTTAAATTTTGATTTCCCATAGATGGCGGACGATACTTTTTATTTGTATGAGAAGATAAAACTTTATAAATTTCTTTGCATATTTGCGATCCTAACCATTAGTTAAATGGTTAAAAATTAAAACTTAAACCATTCCCGTGGTATGCACATGCATATATGGTAGCTAAATATGTATGTATTTAGCAACTACAGTTTTCGGAGACGTTGCACTCGATAGTATCGATGGGATCCAAACAAATATAAAACAAAATATATTAGTTATGACTATAGACAGTATATGGTTTATAGTATTTATTTATTTATTTATTTTCAATGAAGCTCTCATTGCAAAAGACCTGGAAAAGTTCATGCTGGACGTATTAGACCTGCATTTGGGTAATCGGAGGGAGCCTTGTCCTATGTCCTATAATAGATAAGGCCTTGCCGATTTTACCCCTAATTATGTTTCAAACATTTTTATGATATCAGTTAACATACATGTGTCTCTACATGTTACATACAGTATACATACAGTATTCCTTGCTTCCAGAAGGGTTCATTTGAATGTTTGAATTTGTAAAATACAAGGTCATAAGGTATACAAACCAATAAAAATTACTATTTAAAATACGTCAAATTGATTCTTCGAAAGGATTAAATTATTGCTTCAGTGTTAAAAGTCTTTGCAAGCTTGTAAAATCAAATAGAACATCAAAATTGAGGAATATCATTTAAGACTACAGTATATTTTTATAATGAGAAGGTATAATTTGATATACTTTATCGATAGTGCCGCAGGGCTGGGAAAACATCGATAGTGGCCACCATCGATGGTGGAAATAGTGTAGGTATCCCAGATCCCTAGGATCCCTAGAAACAATAGCTATAGTTCAAATGAAATAGTTATAGTGATAGTTCCTCATCCGTATTACAAACGCAGTATTAAGATATCTAATATAAAAAGACACAGCAAAACTGTAATTCTCTACAATAGTCAAGGCGCCTTAAAGAAGGCTCTGAAGATATAATTTTTCATCGCTTTAAAGATCTTAAGGAGCTATTTCTCACAAAGGAGCCTTTTTTTTAGAGAATTGGCCAAATTTATTAATGATGCTAATTTGGAGTTGTGAATCGAAACACACTGGATTTTATTCAGGTCGGGTTAACTCGGTACCAACGGTACCAACGGTCCCCTTGAGGAGCAACCTTCTGTTGTTCCTACTTTCTGAGGCAACCTTCTGTTGCAATAACCACCCACACCTACACATGCACATAAATCCATTTCACTACTATATATATTGTTAAACTCTTACACACCACCACACTTTAAACTATCTATCATATTGTTTAAATTATAAGAATATACCAATGCAACACCATGCATGGTCTCATTAACAACCATCGATAGTCAAGAAAATATCGACAACCCCGAACTATCGAACCATCGAACTAAAGTACCTGGTCAATGCGGACTTATCGTCGTGCAACCATCCAATTTCGCGGCAGCGATTAAATACCAACAAAAAAAAACATTTTATTGAATAAAAAACGCATGAAAAGTCAAACAATATTCAGTTGCACTTCACGTGAAACGAGCATCAAAGTGTAAAGCAAGGAAAAATGACTGGCCGCGGAAAGGGAGCCAAGGGAAAAGTGGTGCGCGAAAATGTCCAGGATGATATGGACGATTTTCTCGTCTACGCTGCCGAGAAAATTATCCAAAAGCGCACAAGAAAGGTGAGAGCGTGTAAACAAAAAAGCAATATATGGGCATCAAAATCCAGATGCAGGACGCAATATGCGCAGCACACAAATTACAAGGTCACATGTCCTTCGGATATTTTAAGCAGAGGACATCTGCTGCAGCAACCACCATTTGCACGTTGCATGTGTTTGTGCGTGAGTGTGTGCGAACTGTATAAGTGTGCGGCATGTGGCTCGTGCTGTTGTTGTTGTTATTGCGCTTCATTGATGGAAAATCAATTAGTTGTCTAAGACACTGCAGCTGGAAATGAAATTAGGATCCCTAACATCCCTCCATTTTCCATTTTCTTAGGGGACTGTCGAGTACCGTGTGAAATGGAAGGGCTGGAACCAACGCTACAACACCTGGGAGCCGGAGGTGAACATTCTAGACCGTCGCCTTATCGACATCTACGAGCGGAGTAACAAATCGTCTGGAACGCCATCGAAGCGCGGCCTCAAGAAGAAGGAGAAGGAGCCCGATCCGGAGCCAGAGTCCGAGGAGGATGAGTACACATTCACCGGTGATGATGTGGACACACCCCAGGCCACCACCTCGAGCGGTGGCCACGACTCCGACAAAAAGGACAAGGAGAAGAAGCACCACCACCACCATCATCACCATCACATCAAGTCCGAACGTAGCGGCAGTCGACGGTCCGAATCGCCGCTGACACACCACCACCACCACCATCATGAGTCCAAGCGCCAGCGCATGGATCATAGTTCCTCCTCGAACAGCAGTTCCACGCACAACTCGTTCGTGCCCGAGGCAGACACCAATTCATCCAGCTCGGAGGATCAGCCCCTGATTGGAACCAAGCGCAAGGCAGAGGTGCTCAAGGAATCTGGCAAGATAGGCGTCACCATCAAGACCTCACCGGATGGACCTACACCAAAGCCTCAGCCACAAATCCACTCACACGACCAGCAGGCACAGAAAACCACATCCGATTCATCGGCTACCCTGAAGTCCGAGCACCTGAGCACACCCCTGGGCACTGAGGTGTCATCAACGCCAGCCGGATCCGGTGCAGAGGAGGAGGATGTGGATGAATCTGTCGCGCAGTCGGATAACAACAATATACCAAAACTCAGCAACACTCTGGCCCTATCACAAAAGCAGCCCCTGACTCCATTGTCGCCAAGGGCTTTACCTCCGCGCTTCTGGCTGCCGGCCAAGTGCAACATATCCAATAGGGTGGTCATCACCGATGTGACAGTCAACCTAGAGACAGTCACCATACGCGAGTGCAAAACGGAACGTGGATTCTTTCGGGAGCGCGACATGAAGGGTGACTCTTCGCCAGTGGCTTGAGATCCACCCAAACATAGGAAGAAAAGGAACAAACAATTGTAAATAGGGGAAAACCACAAAAAAAATCCATGCTAGATGTTGCTAAGCATTTAATTTAAACAAATTAATTTATTTATTGTATTTATTTATAGCTTAGACATTAGTTTGTTATTTTATTACAATGTTTACAGTGCAGAGTGCAATTTGAGCAGTGGCCACATACCACATACCCCCACTCTTGCGACTGCTTGAGTTGCTATTGCAACAGATTTTACACCCTCATAGATTGTCATATATGTACAAATGCATACATGTTTATGCATATGTATATATTTATTTACCACATATTGTATATTTTTCTATAACAATTTGAATCTGATCGAAATGTGACACTCAAATGCAACAGAGTCCGAAACTCCATGCGACACCGAAGCAATTGTTAATTACGCTTGATATAAATGTATACACACGCATACATACAAAATGCATATATTCATATATATATATTCGAGTATTCCAAAGTGTTTGCTCCGTTGGCCTATCCCAATGTTTTATTTGTTTTATGTTGTATATTCTATTTCCTGGCGCTGACTGATTTTTACAAAAAGTAACCCCAAAAAGATATATATTTACACATACTTTGATAAATACTTTTAGAGATTAGCTAACACCAATCTATAATTAACTATTTATTTTAATGTTTTCCAATGTCGGCTCATGCCCAAGTGCTACCTGTATGGGTTCTGTAAGTTGGAGGTGCAGTGCACAAGATAATTCCATAGAGGAACCCATAGATGCAATACTTAGCCATAGGATGATTTTAACCGCTTTAACAATCCCGCACAATTGAATACTTTGCGAGGGCTATGCGAAATTGCAATATTTCACATAGTTCTTATCAGCGAAATCCCCCTGCATGCCCCTTTCTGTGTGATCTAATTTTTTGCGTAGTTTCCCTCGGGACGCTGATTCCAGAAAAAACCATTCAAACCATTACACTTGAAGATTGTAATTTAGTCTTTAACTTTAATGTTATTGCCGGTATCGATTGTACATAATAAATTAAATAGAAGCAACCAAATGTTCTACAATGGGGGATTCTATAACTAAGCCTGATTTGTGTCACAAATATCCTTAAATCAATATCAATGGAAAACTATAAACATAAGATGTTCGCTCTAGTCTCTGCTGTGCTCGGCCTACAACCAAAGGTATGTCTAGCTTTTAGCTATCCAAGTACAATGGATCTCATAAGGGACGGTACTTGTTGATAAACGAATTGATGATTGGCGCCACTTTCTCTGGCTCGTTGAGATGAACGTGATGTGTACCATCAAGTTCGTTGTATTCGAAGAGTGGATTCTTACGCAGCTCCACCAAGGTAGCATCGTAGTACTCCTTTCGTTCGTAGTACGGCGCCTGCAACGCTTTAATGAATAAATGCGGGCATTTGATGCGACTCGCCATTTCCAGAGGCACTTCGTTGTGAAGAGTGTAGAAGAGCGAGGTCTTCAGTCGATTGTCTCGGGAGAAGTAATACTTGTGTGGCTCGTGAGTAGATGGTTTGCAATTTCGTTGCAGCAGGTACTTGCAGGATTCTATTGAAACGGATTTGTTTGAACCCTCGTGCAGTCGCGTCTCCAGTTCATCCCAGGCATAGCAAGGCGGCTCGGAACCGCTGCGTAGGCGTCGCTCAAGCTTTAATGTTGCCTCCAGACGCTCGCTCAACCCATCGACAATGTGACGCGCACTTCGAACGGGCGGTTTCAATACGTCCAGTCCAATAAACATGTCCACTTTGTCGGGAAACAGAGCGCAGAACACAAAGCCATTTATGGAACTCATCGAGTGCGCCATTATGGAGATCTTATCCCAGTTGTATTCCTCCATAAGTCGTCGAGTGACCAGGACGTAGTCAATGGAGTGGTAGGATATGCCAGGTGGTAGCCACGACGACAACCCGTGGCCAGGCATATCGATGCTCAGAAAGGAGATATGGTTGGGAAGCATCGGTGCGAGGGTGTCAAATGTTCCGGCATTGTCCTGCCATCCATGCATTCCCACAAGAGGCCGTACATGCTTTGGCCCATACCATTTACCCGCAATATGACCCCACGGTACGGGTATCGAAATTTCGTCATACTAAAAATGAAAGTCATGAGATAATGAATGAAACATATGAAAACTGGACACCTACGTGTTTTGTGAGGACCTTCAAGGGTCTGGTGGCTCCACTGCTGGCGTGGCGGACACTTGTTAGCTGTGTGAGCAGGCGTAAATTCCTGAGGGCCTTCATTTCAAGGTGCGTTTGAATCGTTTGTTTTTGTTGAATAACGTTGAACCAGACAGACAGTTACACGTTCTTCCAGTTCGCTTCACAATGATGTTCTGATTGCGATTTCACCACTCATTGAAGGGTGATGAGGTAGAACACGCTTGTATGATGACCTTTGTTCTTTGGGCCGTCGGAGCAGTACGTAATATCTCTGAAGAATTATGTTTAGAAAGAATCAGAATTGTCATCCGTCTGCGGCTGCGATGAAACGATAAGCAGCACTGAACACGTGTTGACCGTCTTTTGCAACACTGGCGCTTGGTTTATGCGCAAAGCAGTCATGTATTCAGTTGCTGGGCAGAAAATGTATTTAAAATGTTTTATAATTTATAACACATAAAACATCAGGAAAGTGAATGTGAATAAAATGTGAATCAGTCTACAAAGTGAATGTAACTCTGTTTCGATATGAGCTGCTCCAGCCAAAATCAGTTGGCCATCGAACTAATCATCACCATTAGCCGCCTGCATAAACGTTGTATCTTACTCTGATTCTCATTCAACAGCTGTAGATAATTGTGAATTTTTTATCTTTTTGTACTTTTCCGCCTTTATAAAAGTTCATTTTTCGCAACAAAATTAATTAAAGCAGTCTAAAAACGTGAGCGAACCGAATTAGCATAAAGTCCAGGTCCCCAGAGACGACCATGGCAACAAGGAAAGGTGAGGTTTGTTTGAATCGCAAGTGGCTGCCAAGAATGGCACCTTGACCTTTGAGACAATCGACGCGACGCCGGCATTGAGTTTTGGACCTAATTAAAAAACCTATGCCAATGCACGCCCGCAATTAATTTATGTGCAAGCAGTGCCCTTTATTGTTTACATTGCCAGCGTGCTACTTTCTGCTTTTATTTATTTTTTCGATTCCCTTTTGCCTTTTCTTCTGTTTATGGCTAACTAATCGCGCCTAATCTTGAGCGGCTAGCTGATAAGCGCCAACACTCGCTAAACTTTGGAATTAAACCTCATTCGTCTACTCGTTTTCGGTGAATTCAGTGCACAACATGGACTTCCAAGAAGATAGCTCAAGTGGGACCAGTGGCAATGATCTGGGACAACGCTATCGACATGCAGGGGACTTAACCGGCGAGCAGCCAACTAGGCCAGTAAGTGCACTTTGAACCCCGTCTGGGGCGTTACTCGCATTTTTCCATACACATTTTCGCTTACAGTTTGCTGAGATCAGCATTACTGTGCCCTGGGGACACATATCCGGCAAATGGTACGGCCCGCAGAATGTGCAACCCATTCTGGGCCTGCACGGATGGCAAGACAATGCGGGGACCTATGATCTGCTGATGCCGCTGCTCTCCCCGGACGTGGCCTTTCTGTCGATTGATCTGCCCGGCCATGGACTGTCTTCCCGTCTGCCCGATGGATGCTACTACAACTCTGTGGATAATCTATATGTGATTCGCCTGATCATGAAGCAATACAAGTGGGAAAAGGTGTCGCTGGTGGGGCACTCCATGTCCTCCATCATTTGCTTTGTGTTTGCTGCCGTCTTTCCCGACAAGGTGGATATGATCATTGGGATCGATGCTCTCAAGCCGCACCAGAGACCATACCCCTCGGTTATACGAACCATGGAGACGCGTCTGGACGAATTTCTGCGTGAGGATGAGCGCAATCGGAGCAAGAGTGAGCCGCCTAGCTACACCTACGATGAGATCATCGAACGCGTCTACCTCGGCACATTCCACTCGGTCAACAAGGAGCACTGCAAGCACTTGATGGCTCGAAACATCCAGAAGTCAGAGAAGTACCCCGACAAGTTCTACTTCTGTCGCGATCGGCGGCTAAAGTTCTATAACTATGCCATTGGCTCCCAGGAGCTGTGCGTGGAGATGGCCCATCGGATCAAATGCCCGTATATGTTTATCAAGGCCACACAGTCCTCGTACTTTGAGGACAAGAAGTACTACGACGAGGTACTCGACGTTCTGTTAAAGAAGCCCAACTTTGAGTACATCGAGGCCAATGGCTCTCACCATGTGCATATGAACAGTCCAGAGGCCATCATTGAACCGGTCAATAACTTCATTCAACGCTTTGGACCGGCGGCAGCGGCAGCGGATCGCCTAAAGGCCAAGGAGGCGAAGGAGAGCAAGCTCTAGAGTATCAGTATCAGGCCATACGCCCAAAGCACACAAGACGCACACACTCGCATGCACACGCACTACACCAAACGGGTCAAATGGGGCTTATTTATCGTTGCACAGATTGCACAGGTTTTTATACTTAATTGTTGATTATGTGATCGAAGCAGAAGAAGGCTCAGAGCACAGAGCGCTGCTCTGCTCTGATCTGCACTCTGCTATAAATATACAATGTACATATGCCGAAAGTTTGCACGCTTCCACTCGCCTCCGTTTAATGGGAAGTTGTGAAGGATACTCTGGAACTGGTTATGCCAATGGGTGCTTTGTTACAAGACTTACTCGAAATGTCCCTTCTGTGGTCTAAAGCACTTTGCTTATGTTTGTTTTTGTACTGCCTATTAGTGTTTATGGATCAATTTAGCTTAGGCAACCAATCTTACATGCTCTCTGTGCATCATCGCCAGATGACCTACATTTCGTTTACAGCCTCTGTAGAATCCATGCAGCGAAAGTGTTAATAACCCGCAAACCAGTTTCCCCATTCCCACACCGAATCTGTGGCGTTCCCAGCCAGCAGTTGCATCATTTTCTAGACTCTTTCTTGGGTACGCTCTGGAGGTCAAGCGACGGATTTACATTGAAATTGATTGTTTTTTTTTCCTTCAATATATATATATTTATTTTTTTGATAAATGAAAGAAACGTAAAAAAAAAGATTCCAAGTAACCCGTTGGCCCTGCGGCTTCCACATTTGTCTGCATATATTTTCAGTCTCTTGCCACTTTTTTGCTCTTGCCCCAATATGGATGCTCGAGACAGTTCCTGAGTCTCTTTTTGCACTTTGATAAATGAACATGGACAGGCATTCAATTTGGTATTAAATTTTTAACACATGTTATACAAAATGTGGGGCTAAGAAGATTTTCATTCGATATGCTGGCTTGGAGCGAGGTTTTTTCGTACCAAATCCATAATTAAAACAGACTTCATTCGGCTTAAATGATCAGCATAGCTGTTGGTTTATTTTTGTTGTGGGGTTTTGTAATGGAAAATTCTTGTATTTAATTATGTACAAAGTTGCTAAAACTAGATGTAACGCATCTTTAGCCACAAGAGCACTGACTAGGCCTGTAAACGACGGATATCCTCCAATCTAACATATATCTATTCCTGTGCTGGTGGATGGGCGGCAATGTACTCCAGGGCACGGATGATGGCCTCTGGAATTGGTGGTGGTGTCGGCAAATGGGCACCGCGGGGCTGGAAACCGTTCTCATCGGCCACATAAGTCACTTCGATGAGCTCGCCTTCGGGTGAGGTGTACGAATAGCTGCCAGTGGCTCCATTGGCATTGCCAGCCTCCTGGGTTTGGATGCCATTGCTGGACTCGAAGGAGTTGGCGTAGTTGCCCTCCGCATCGGCGGGATCGTTCTTCTCACTCAGGATGGTGGCATCTTTGTCGATGTGGTCTGCGTGGACATAGGCCACGAGCAGGGCAGCGAGCAGGCAGATTGTCTGAAAGATTTATTCCATTGATTAGTGATTCCTTTTGGTATCCGTTTTGGTTCGCCGCAATCCGAAATACTCACAAGCTTGAACATGTTGTCGGAATTGTCTAATCCACACTGTTTGGGTGATCTTCAGAGGCGGAGGCTTTTATAGCCACCACCGTATGGCATCTCATCGCCAACGCAGCGTTGCCTTTCGGCGTCTGCGTCGACGTTTGCGACGGCGTCGCTGTCGTCTTTAATCTGGCTCGCAGACGGGGACGTGCCCGTGCTGCTTTAAGCCAAATATCAAGCTTAATATGTTTGTAGATATATATTTCGAGCGAAGCGCAAAATACCCATCGAATTGAACGAAATTTAACGCAACAAAAAAAGAGCAAACACAAATATGTGTGGTAGCATTTGAACCCATTCAGAGTGGATGGTCCCACATCTAGATGATGATGATGGTAATGGGTGAACCTGAATCGCAGCACTTAATAGTTAATAGTTTAGGTTGGGTTTTGTGGTTTTTTGCCTTAATGGGCCTGCGACATTCACTCGAGTGTGTAGAGGCGCGGGTGACTTTAGAGACGGGCCTGTGCTCAACTCGTTTGCGAATAAATTGATTTGAAACCTATTTATCATCCATTTCATTTCGAACCAGTTAAGTGGCTTCATCAAGGAATTCTTAAGTCTGCCCCTAAAACACAACAAGTTCAACGCATTAGCATACAAATTTATATTCCCAATAATTAAATTAGCCATCGCGCATAAATTGTCTAGGCCTAAACGCACTTAGCACTCGGACTAATAAAATGCCCATTAATCGCATAGCCCAACATCCCACTTGGTAGTTGATCAAACAAACTCATCTAAATCATGCCAAACACCTATTCCATGACGTATCCAGCAAATGGCTGGACATTCACTATAATTTGAATTGGTAAAAAGCCAATAACCACTCCATAGAACATTTCATTAGTTAGCCAGCCAGATGGGGATATTTTATAGATCTATATTTAAATATCAGAAGCAACATTCCAATCATTTAAATAGTAATGTGTTCATTAATATAGTTTCTGGAGAGAATGGGTTAGTAGTAGGACCAAGAATTTATATATATGTGCGAATTCTATTGAATTAACATGAAAGGCAGTCAGTTCTGATCAGGTTTATGGGTCAAACTAAGTGTGAATGCTTCCTTATTGATCAAACATATTCCCAGCCATTAACACCAATTTCAAAATATGTTTACTCCGCTAATTTTTAGATAAAACAAAAGACTTTAGGAGAGACGACAAAATGTTCGTATGAATAAATTTGTTCAGCCTTATCTACTGGTTCATGGCAATTAATCAAAACGCTCTACTTCAAAGTTGACCATTAATTAAAGTCATAAATGTAGGGTATCAGAAAATCACACATTTCATAGTCTTTTAGTTTGTGGACCAACTGAAGACGATGTTCGGCGGCGCTCCAGGTGACAAACTCCGACCTTGCCCATCTCCAACTCCAAATCTGAATCCAAATCTGAAACGATTTCAACAGCTTTCCACCTGCCACTCATCTGAGGCCCAGGGCGCCTTCAGCAGCACGCACCCATAGACTTCCAATTGAAAGTTGTAACAATGAAACTGATTTTGTTCGGGAGGGGAATTTCCGAGCGGCTCGTGAATGAGTTTTGGGACCGCATTAAACAACGATTTTTATTTGTAAGCAATTTAACATTTAGGGGGATATTCGTACAAAGACGGTGATGATGATCACTAAATGCGAAACTGAAACCGAATTAAAGCATACAATATAAATTGTTGGCAAATGACTCATGTATTTTAAAGGCAAAGACACGATAATAGTTGGCGAGTATTGCCACCATTATTGGTATATGATAATACAAGTTTTTTCCTTGTGCTTTTTTTTTGGCAATTATTGCTACCCCTGCCCTGTACTGCCATTGCCATCCCGATTGCATGGATGCGGACCGAAACTTGTTTCGTTGCCTGTGAACCCGTCAACCCAAGCCCAAGGGTCCCCATCCATATAAAAGACGCACTTGAGCTGATCAAATTAAACAGTTGCACTCCAAGCAGCATCTCCATAACATCAAAGTATACACCCAACCGAATAAACTTTACATTTGGATCCAACATGTACAAATACGTAAGTTACCTTTGGGATATTCCGGGATGCCGGATAATTGCAGTGATAACCATGACCGTTGCTCCTACAGTTGTTCTGCCTCGCTCTCATCGGCTGCGCCTGCGCCGACAACATCAACAAGGACGCCCAGATCCGAAGCTTCCAGAACGACGCCTCTGATGCGGAGGGCAACTATCAGTTTGCCTACGAGACGAGCAACGGCATCCAGTACCAGCAGGCCGGCAATCCCAATGGAGTGCGCGGTGCCGTTGCCTATGTTTCGCCCGAAGGTGAGAAAATCTCACTGAGCTACACCGCCGACGAGGAGGGCTACCATCCAGTGGGCGATCATTTGCCCACACCGCCCCCAGTGCCCGCTTATGTGATGCGCGCTCTGGAGTATATTCGCACGCATCCCCCTGTAGCCGCTCAGAAAGATCAGTAAATATGCTGAGAGACACATCAACCATCACATTTAGTAGCACCGCTTGCACTGCCACCACCGTACTCCAAGCCAGTCATTGTTATTTAGAGACAAATGTACATTCGTACGTTGTTTTCGTAGTTATCGTTAATAAAGCCCATCAATACAGGAAAGCAACATCAGCTTCGATTTTATGAGTGCAAGAGAGCAAAGGCAACGCTTATAATAATCTTGAAAATCACTCGCCTGCATGCATGTAAATATATTTGTGTGCATGTATTTCTTTCGCTATCTCTTTTAATCTCTCACTCTCTTTCTTAATCCGCGTCTTTTTGCTTACTTGTCTCGGTCTTTCTCTTTTTTACCTACTAGTAAGGTGACGTTGCTCATGCGCTTTTTCAACACGCTCTCTCTATTTTTTGACAAGCGCCGTTTTTGTTCTCAAGCGTACTGCCAAACTGACGAAAGAGAGCGATGTGGTTAAGGCGCCACCTTATTAGTAAATTTACCTCAGTCGTTCACATATTTAAATAACCCTGTCTCACTCTCTTTTTACCACTCTCACGCTCTCAACGAAAACAGTCATCAATGAACAGGGCATATCAGTTCGACTCTCTTTCGCTCTGCAAAACTACCACAGCTACTGCAACTGCACAACGGGGTAACAACATTGCGAGTCTCAGTCCCTAAGCCGCTCTCTCATTTCACTTTTGTTTTCATTTAACTTCATTCGACTCAAACGAAACGATTGGATTACTGTGTGTCTAAAGATTTTTTTCGATATAATTATGTGCAATGTGCTTAAAACTAAGCAACTGACTAGGCCGGCATTCGGGCATTCAATCCATATCTATTCGCTGGATGGATGGGCGGCATTGTACTCCAGGGCACGGATGATGCCCTCTGGAATTGGTGGGGGAGTTGGCAGATGGGCACCTGACGGCTGGAATCCATTCTCATCAGCCACATAGGTGAGTGCAATATTCTCCCCCTCCGGCGAGATGAAAGAGAAACTACCAGTGGCGCCATTGGCATTGCCAGCCTCCTGGGCTTGGATGCCGTTGCTGGTGTCGAAGGAGTAGGCGTAGTTGCCCTCCGCATCGGCGGGATCGTTCTTCTCACTGAGGATGGTGGCATCTTTGTCGATGTTGTCTGCGTGGACATAAGCCACGAGCAGGGCAGCCAGCAGGCAGATTGTCTGAAATATTTAATCCATTAAAAACTGATTCCTTTTTGGTTTCCTTTCGGTATCTGTTTTGGTGCAACGCGCTCCGATATACTCACAAGCTTGAACATATTGTCGGAATTGTCTGGTCCACACTGTTTGGGTGATCTTCAGAGTCGGAGGCTTATATAGCTACCATGGCATCGGCTGAAATTAAATATGCTTGCATATTTTAATCAAAGCACCAAATACCGAATCGAAAATGTAGATTTGGTTAGCATTTGAACCTATTTGATATGTCTGTGTTAGTAGGACCCACATCTGAACCTGAATCGCGGCACTTAATAGTTGTTGTTTTTTATGATTTTTTTTGCATGTGAAAAAAAAACAAACTCCTTTTGAAGTGAGGGTGACGATGACTTCAGAGATGAGCCCCAGGGCTTGTTTGGCGTCATTTTGTAATACAATTACAAGTAATATTTGTATTTAAATTAGCTCTTACAGGTTCTGGGTCAGTAAACCATTATGGGACTTAAAATATCATACCAAATTAATTCATCATGCTTGGATCCGGAAATCACAGCAAAATCGATTGAGAATAAATTCCAACAGGTGAATATTATGTATTTTTGAGTCATCTATTCCATTTTTCCATACCCCTATTTAAAATTAACCAATCGTATACCCTAAAAACACAAAAACTATTTCTCAATTTGCATTATTTATTTGGATCGCTTAAGAGTTATTTTGGGAATATTATTTAAATTCGAACCCACCGAACTTGTTTCAACACATGGCAAATGTTTCTCTGGCCCTCTGGTTGAGAGAGGAGAGTAGCGAGGTTGTTACCCGGAAAGAAAATTCCGCCTATTGTCAACTTATCGAAAGCTATTAAAACAGAATCGCATTCTATTTCCATCCAGTTTTCAAAATTCCGACATCTGAGAATAGACATAAATATTAATAGTCAGACGCGGAGATAAATTAGATAAAGATGTTTGCAGATAGCACAACAACAAAAAAATAATATAGAATTCGTTAGGGTCGTTCTATGCGGACATCAAGTATCATATTTGGGCTTGGCTTTGTTTGCTCGTTTTGGGTGTAAACACAATAAATTATGGCATGGGATGGTGCGGAAGAATCAATGGATGAGTTGATTTATACCCCGAGCGGAGCGACAGAACAGACAGAACAGACAAAACATTTGCGCAGTTTTTGGATGGCTTACAAGACCTAGCAACAACTTAGCCTACGCCTAGTGCTGGATTATACTACAGTTAGTTGGTTTGTTTTGGAATTATTACTACTACATGCTATGGTGGTATGATCAGCCTTCTTCTTGGACACTAGTTTCCATGTAGTGAATGTGGATGTGGGATGCAGGAACTTTAGAACACATTCGGCTTCAGCTTGCCATCCTCCGTGTGGGTGCGAATGTACTCGAGGGATCGCAGGATGTAGTCTGGAATTGGCGGTGGCTGTGGCAGGTGTCGGCCCACCACATGGAAGCCCAGCTCATCGGCTATGTAGCGCGTTTCGATGGTCTGGCCCTCGGGCGAGATGTAGGTGTAGATGCCAATGGTCTCCAGAGCAGTGCCCGCCGCCTGGACATCAATACCATTGCTGGTCTTGAACGCGTACTTGAACACGCCCTGCTCGTCCAGCGGCGAGACCCGGTAATCCGTAATCTGGGCATCTCGCTCGCTGGAGCCCACGAGCCGACGAATGCGGCGTATCCGCACCAGCTTGGCATCCGATTCGGGCCAAAGAAGGGCAAGCCCCAGCAGGGCTATGATCTGCAGAAACGAAGAGATCTTATCAGCAAGAGATATCACAGATCGCTGGAGAAAAGGGAACACAGATGGGACTCAAGGTCTATGCTTACAAAATATCGCATATTTCCCTTTGTTTTATGTTTTCGCACACGGCACAATCACACACGCTCAATCCCCAATCAAATTGATTAATTTCGATATTTATCTGCGCTAAACGATCTGCCACTGGCCGATCTTAGTCCGAACAAAAGACGTCTGCGAGGTTCAAAGTTAGCCACCGTACTGCCACTCCGGCGAGCGTGTGTTATCTGTATATATATGAGGAAAGCAGTGGAGTGGAGGGCAAAGCGAATACGAAGCGAAAAATCTAATAAGCATAACCAAATGCCAATAATCGTTGGCTCCATCTTGGTTGTCTGCTGTGTATCTGACTTCTGTGGATGTGGCTGGGGATCTGCTGCTAGCTAGGGCTTGGGGTTCTTGCTTGATAACAGGTCACGTCACGACGATTCGGTAGAGTCATTCATTTCCGTTAATCTTTGGGCCAAAGCCAATGTCTGCTTATTCATATTTTATGTTCCCATACGTCAGCGGTAGTTTCTGCAGACATCTCGTGAGTATTCGTATGTGCTAAGTAGCTCGAGTTCTCGTAGATCCGTACCCAATTTGGATTCAAATTTATGATGCAAAGAAGTTCCGATATCGCATTGTTTTGATTATTCAGCAGCGGAAAACATGACAATAAATTTAAGCTAACTCATACTCAATGGTATGGCAAATACAAGTTCTTGTTTCTAGCATTTCTCCAACTTTATTTACTTTGGTTTATTTAATTAAGTTTTA